TGTCGCCCCTGTTCCTGGAAGAGGGATCTATATGTGTGCACGTGGGGGAGCAGAAGCAAGGGGCTTGGAGTTGAGTTGCTGGTACCAGTTTGTGTTTTAGGAACAGGAAAATTCCATAGTGTTCCGAAGTCCATTTGCCTGGCTTCTAGTAGAGATTGGCAACTGCCTTATTTGTTTTTGTTTCTCAGAACATGCCTCCTTAGATCTGAGTAGGCAGTTTATTTTTAGGATCTGAGGATGACCCCCACAGCGCCATGAAGATCGTCCATCAGGCTCAGAGGTACTGGGAGAAAGGAAGTTCCCTGGGGATCAATTCGAGTTTTGTTTCAGGATCTGTGGGAAAACTTGTGCTTTTCCACCAGGAAGCCGATGGTGACTTTCGCCCCGTGAGAGGCTCTGGGGGACCGGCTCTCACTCCTGCCTCAGACTCCCCTTTGTGGCAGGAACAGGGGGAAAGTGGGCCTGCTTGTTCAGGAAAGGGATTTGGGCCTGGCTTCTCTGTCTCAAGCCCGCTCCCAGGGAGAGAGCTCCCGCTACATTCTTGAAGTGGCAGGAGAAATGCCGGGGGATGTATTTTGATGCTACCACTAGTGAGTAGCTGTCGGTCTGGGTCTGTGACCTGCCTCGCACTCACAACCCTCCCGAACCACCACAAGCTCTTTTGTCTTAGGTTCAGGGCACTTCCTGGGACATCCCACCGACGTTGGTACAGAATGGTTCTGCCTGCCCTTCTGATCATAAAATAGTGAGCGAGGCAGAAACTGCCCCACCCGCTTGGAACTTACATTCTAAAGGAGAGAGGCGGTAAATAAACACCAGGTAGTGATAAGTGCTAAGAAGAAGAAAAGCCACAACAGCTGGCTAACAGAGTTGGGGAGAAGTCAGGTACAGGTGGAGAAAGGTGTCTGTGGATTGGCCTGAGGGAGGGAAAGGAGCCAGTCAGGTGAAAGGTCACGTGATGGCGTTAACTTTTGCCCTAGGCACAGCCAAAAGAGTGTATGGCCGAAGGGAAGAGTGTTGTGGGGTCGAACCCTGGATTCAAAATAAGACCACCAGAGGCTGATGATTGATTAAAAAAAGCAGGCAAGGATTTATTGAAAAACTGGCCAGGACGGCCGCAAGAGCACCACACGCAGGTGGGCCCCACACGACCGATCCAAGTGTAGGCAATCCCTTTTAAAGCTTCAAACCAAAGGAATTTCCCTTTGTTCTAAATTCTAAAGGCTGGGAACATTGGAATGTGGCCCTATCTTGCCTATAATACAAAAGCAGATCTCAGGTTAATCTCTAAAGGTTATAATTTCTACCCCTGAAGCTACAGTGGGAGTCAATCTCCTGTAACTACCCTATTGTTTAAGCCAGTAATCAAAGGTCAAGTCAGATAGCAAGGTTAAAATTCAAACAGCAGTTTTTACCCAAGTATGATTGCTACCATCTTTCAAAGAGGAGATGAGCTCTGGGAGGGAGACAGACCTTGGATCCGAAGTGATTTGTAAGTTAAAGTAAGAAGTTTGGGTGTTTATCTCAGTGTAACTGACGGGGGGCTGCAGGATACTTCCCTGTAGGGGAGTGATACAATCTGATACATACTTTTGTTTTAATGTTGTTTTTTATGGTTTAAAGTATTACATTTGTCCTCCGATGATACATAGTTTCAAAAGCAACAGATGGAGCCCTAGCCAACAAGGGATAGAGCATCAGCCCAGCCTACAGATCAAAGGGTCCCGGGATCAATTCTGGTCAAGGACACATGCCTTCGTTGCAGGCTCCTCCCAGGCCCTGACCCTAGCTAGTTAGGGTGCATGCAAGAGACAAGTAATCCATGTGTTTCTATCACATCGATATTTCTCTCTGTCTTTCCCATTCTCTTCTACTCTCCCTAAAAAAGTCAACAGGAAAACAGCCCCAGGTGAGGATTAACAAAAAACAAACAAATGAACTCAAAGACGGAGAATGGGGCGGGGATAGGAATATCAGTTAGGAAGCACTTGTCAGCAGTGAGAGGTATTGGCGAGGGGACTGGGGTTCTGGGAAGAAAGGGGCTTTGCATGGCATTCAGATCTATCAGACTCTATCAGCGTTACCTCTTTAGCACAAGCACTTATAAGATAAATCTTTCTCCCACCAAAGCTTTCCCAAAGAGAAATGTATTCGGAACCATATATACACCCACAGATAGCATGTAGACGCACATGTTTGGAGGGAAGGAAGAAAGGAAGAAGAAAATAATGAGTGAGTTTATTTACAACATAAGTGAATATCTGGAATACTTTATGAATTAATACTATTTCCTATAACAGACATGTTTTTGCAACTATGTCCTTAGGGGAAAAATTCGGTCACTTCCTTTGGAGTCCACACCAGCCTTGGGGTTAGAGGTTACATTTCTTGAGAGGATAAGAGTCTTCAGGAAAAACCTGCACTGAGGGAACACTTGCTTTTTAAATTATTTAAATTATGATGATGTTTTAACCGCAAACGTTTATGAGAAAAACATTAGTCCTGATCTTTGAATATGTGTCTGTGAGGAGAGATCTATGAGATGGAAAGGAGAACGGGCCATAGTCGGATTCAGTGTGAACTGAGTCTTCTTTTTTCTTTTTTTAAATATATTTTATTGATATTTTACAGACAGGAAGGGAGAGAGATAGAGAGCTAGAAACGTCTATGAGAGAGAAACATCGACCAGCTGCCTCTTGCACACCCCCTACCGGGGATGTGCCCGCAGCCAAGGTACATGCCCTTGACCGGAATATAATAAAACCTGGGACCTTTCAGTCCGCTGACCGACGCTCTACCACTGAGCCAAACTGGTATCGGCCGGAGTCTTAATTCACCAAGTGGTACTATTCTGTGTCCTTACCGAGAGCACGGAATGAGCAGAGTGGTTTTTAGCTGATGAGAGAGCATCCCCCTCTGCAAGGCGCCCAGTCAGCACAGACGTAATTGACACCTGCCATCCCTTCCCATCAAGGCAGTGAAAGTCTGCACCTGTCCTTATTCCAGCTTTCACTGCTCGCAGGCTTGCTGGTTTCACACACAGGATCGGCAGATAGGAATAGTAATGGATTCCTTTGCCCCACGCATTCCGTGTCCTGACTCTGTCACTCAGCTTACATATGTCCCCTTGCATTCCCCCCCTCATTAGACAGTAAGCTCTCTCGGGAAAAAGGCATGTCTTATTCATCTTGCATCTGATCCAGTGTCAGGAAGGTTGCTTGGCATTGAGCAGGCATACAAGCACTTTGGTGGGTGGATGAAGGAATATCAGAGAGGAGAAAATACCAGTTATTAAGTTCTGCGTGTTGTGAGACAGACTGAGGGATGACCTGAGAACAGCAAAAATAGAGGATTAAAAAGAAAACAGGATAAGTAAATAAGGAGCCAGACTGAACAATTGGAATAAAGGGTGTGTGAGATGTCAATCAGAAAAGGCTCCCTGAGCGTGGATTCTGGGATGTGTTTGAAAAGAGGAAAGGGAGCAGGAGTTCAGAAACATGGCATGGAGCTGGTTGAACCAAGGCCTGGGAAGCCGTGAGCGTGCCTGCAGCCTGCTTTCGGAGCAGGGTCTGTTCTACCTCCCGGCTCCCCACCCAGACACGCGCACCCACTCTTCTCCGTCTTGATGTTTCCCAGGTCAGCCCAGTGTAGGACTTGATGTTCTCTTAAGTTTCTGTGAAAATAAGCAAACAGCCATCCTGTTTTGCTAACCCTGGTTCTCTAGGGAAATAATTTCCTTGTTCCCAATAAAACAGAACTGCTCCGGGGGGGGGGTGTGTGTTAAAACAGCGGGGGGTGTCAGGGGGACCCACAAAACTCTCCAAGGTAGTATTAACCACATTAGCACGTCATCACAAAAATGATCTTTGTGTGTGTGTGTGTGTGGGCAGATGGGGATCCCAAGAGCTCAAGGATGTGTGCGTGAGATCTGGGAAGAGAGCCTGCGGGCAGAATCTCGTCTTTCCCACTTCTGCCCGCTTCTCAGAGAGGATGCGCGGGTACCCAGGAGGCTGGGCACTTACTTTCTGGGGCTCAGATCATGCAGCCTCTAGCACTTGAGGGATGGGGCGGGGAGGGGGCAGATACCACCGTCTCCCTGAAAAGATCAGAGCATTTTGCTGGGCGGGAGGTCGAGGGGAAGCCCTGCAGGAGCTCTTGGCCCGGAGAGATGACGTGGATCCTTCCACCGGGGTGACCCAGCTCTCCCGCCGCCCACGTCCTCAGCGCGGCGGGTGCCCACGCAGCCCGCTTCCCGGACGCCCAGCCTGGGGCTCCCCCGGTGGAGGCAAGAGAACGAGGGTGCAGATTCCTGAGGAGTAGGCTGGTTCAGGGCACAGCGATCCTCTCCCCCCCAATGCACACGGGCTCCCGGGCGGCCCTGGGGGAGCCCCTCTGCAGGTGGCACCGCAGCCTGGAAGCCCCGGCGGAGGCGCACCCGCCCCGGCAGGGGGGCTGCTCGGTGGGCCCCGTCTCCCCGCGCGCGGCCCGGTTTCCGGGGGTGTCACACCCGCCCGCCGTGACGTCACACTTGCCGGGCTGAGGTTTTCCCAGCGGGACCCCCTCCCGCCCGCCGGGCGCCGTTAGATCACCGCGGGGCCGGTGCGGAGGGCGGGGAGCCCGGCCCCCACCCGCCCGCCGTCCACGCTGGCTCCCCACGGAGGCCCCGGCGGGGGCGCACGGCGGCCCCCCGCGCCTGCGCGCTGAGGCGGTCGGGGCGCGCCGGCTGCCGGCACTTCCGCCTCAGTAGGTGTCATGGCGCCGGCGGGCGCGGAGTTCCCGCGGGGCGGGGCCGGCCGGATGGGGCGGCCGCTCGGCGCTCGGCTCGTCGGGTCTGGCGGCGGCGGCGGCGGCGGCGGCGGCGGCTGCGGAGCGAGGGGCCCGGCGGCGGCCGCGGACGGCGGCGGGAGGCCCAGGCGGCATCGCGCGGGGCTGAGGCGGCAGCGACGGCGGCCGGGGCCCGGGTGGCGGGGCGAGCGCGGGGCTGCGGGCGCTGCCCCCGCGGGACGGGCGCGGGGCCGGCGCCGGGGGGCGGGGGCCGGGGCCCGGGCCGGCGCGCGCGGGGGGTATGATGACCCGGCGGCGGGGCCCGGGATCCTGTCTCCTCCGCCGCCGCCTCCTCACGGCAGCCCCGGCTCGCGGCTGAGAACCACACACACCGGCGGTGAGTCGGCGCGGGGCGCGGGGCGGGCGGGCGGGGGCTCCTGGGCTCGGAGCGCCCGCGATCGGCTCCCCGCGGGGCCCCGGGCGGCGGGGGCGGGGCGCCTCTCTCCCGGGACCCCCCTCCCCGCCGGGATCGGGATCCAGGTCCCGCGGCCCGAGCGCTCCGGCCGCGGAGGGGATCGCGCCCCCGGGAAGGCGGGAGGCTCCGGGCGGGCTCGGGGGCCGCTCCCCTGCCTCCCGCCGCCTCGCTCCGGGGCGTGTTGTCCTCGGGTGACAGGGCCGCCCGGCGTCTCCGCCGCCGCCGCGGGGCCCCCGGAGCGGCCGGTGCGTGTGCATCTCCCGGGCGCCGCGGCGGCGGGTCCGATGGCGCCGCTTCGGGCCGGGTCCGGGGTCTGGAGGGCCCGGCGGCGGCGGGTGTGGGCGCCTTCCTCCCCTCCCCGCCCTGACGGCGTTCCGTCTTTAAGTTTGTCATTTTGGAAGGACGGGAGGCGGCGGGGGACCAGCCCGCCGAGTGTGCGGGCCGATCGGGAGGTCTGGCTCCGGGGAAACTTTTGCTGTGTGCCCTCACTTCCCCGACGCTTTCGTTTAAGGGAAAAACAAAACAAAACAACAGCACATTCAACCCAGGCTCCGGGGTGAGGCCCCGCGCTCTGCGGGAAGGAGGCCCTTTTTTGTTCCCAGCAACCAGGACCGGAGTCCGCGCCGGAGCGCCGGCCTGCGGGGACGCGGGCGCTTTCCTCCCTGCCGGGGGGGGGGGGGGGGGGCAGGAGAGGGGGGCCCGCACCCAGGCCCCGCTGCCCGGTCTTCCCCGGCCTACACCGCCACCCACCCGAGGGGTGCAGGTGCCCTCGTGGAGGCAGCCCCTGAGCTGCCTGCTTTGGGGACTTTTTCAGTCATTGCATCCGAGTAGTCATTCCCACGGTGGCCCTTTTCTGCCCAGAAGGTCCTCTATCTTGTTTGTTTGCCGGTAACTCGGGAACGAAAACAGCCGTGCGGCTTCCTGCTCCGACGAAGTGGGGTTAAATCCAGTGGCTGATGCCCTCAGCGAAACCTGCAATTTTGCTCTTGTTTGTGTAAAGCTATTTTTGATTCTTGGGCTGCAGTTTTGTGCGTATGTGTGCGTGTGGGGTTTTTTTTTGTGTGTGTGTGTTTTTTTTTTTTTAAGATTACAGAGGATGCAAATCATTACCAGTTTCTCTTTTCACATAGAAGCCTGAAGCTATCTGTAAAAGATATTTAAAAAATCTAGCAAGTCTCTTTACCCAATGGTGGTTATTCAGCGAGCGAGTTTGGACGTTTCCATGTAGTTGTCCCAGGGTTCTGTGCGGTAACACCGGCCTGCTGCAGGCTGTCACTGACTGGAAGATGCTGCTCCTGGTTTGAAGGAACAGGAAAAGGGCCACCTTCAACTCGTGGCTGGAACTGGAGGCGGCCACGCCAGTAAAAGCAGCTGGTGATGAAATGGTGAATAAGATCTTGTAAATATACCGGCTCCGGTCGGTAAAAGGACTTTGGCTGGTGACACGGTCGTGGTTTGTCCTAACTTTGGACATTGTCGTTTTCACGGGTTGCAGAGCGAGTTGATTGGTAACTGGAGATTTAAAACCAAACCAGCACTCCCTTCGAGAAGAAAAAGGGATGATCTCAGAATTCACGGTTCTCAGGAAAAGGGAATTCTTTTCTCCTGTGGTTTTGTGTTCACAGGCACAGCTCAGTGGTTGTGTTGGTAGAAACCAGCGAGCCAGCCCTGGGGGGTAAACTTAGGCAACTTGTTGTTAGTTACACATTGTAACCGGTCCTTTTTCCATTTGAAGTAAATTGTAGACATGCACTTCCTGATCTGCCCTGTTATTTTCATTTTCACACTGTATATATAAAGTATCCATTTTTTTTTAGTTTTTAAAAAGTTACAGTTATTAATTCCTCCGCAGTTTCTTTTTTAATATATTTTATTGATTTTGTACAGAGAGGAATGGAGAGAGATAGTTAGAAACATCGATGAGAGAGAGTCATCGATCAGCTGCCTCTTGCACACCCCCTACTGGGGATATGCCCGCAACCAAGGTACATGCCCTTGACCGGAATCGAACCCAGGACCCTGCAGTCCCCAAGCTGACTCTCTATCCATTGAGCCAAACCGGTCTCGGCCACAGTTTCTTTTTTATTGTTATGGATTTCAGAGACGAAGGGAGTAGGGGGAAAGAGAGAGAAACATCAGCGATGAGATAAAATCATTGATTGGCTGCCTCTTGCATGGCCCATACTGGGGATGGAGCCCGCAGCCCGGGCTTCTGCCCTGACTGGGAATTAAACTGTGACCTCCTGGTTCATACATGAACCATGACCTCCTGGTTCATACATAGGTCAGCGCTCAACCCCTGAGCCCCGCCGGCTGGGCCCTCCCCAGGGTCTTCCCTCACATTTCATGTTATTCTGAACGCAAGTCATCAACATTTTCCTTCGAGTGTCATTCAGCAGGCACGGATTTGCTTCTGATCCCTTTTCTGCTCTGAATCTTCCAGCTCTCCAAAGGCCGAATGTATTTTTGTAGAGCATGATTTGGCACTTTAAGCCATTTACATCCTGTTTTTATATTTCTCTTTCTCTTTGGTGTGTCATATCACCAAGCAGCACCCTAAGCTCTCGGGAGGAGGGAAAGTTGCGTGTTTCTTCTGGATTCTCTAAGGACGCCTGGTTCAGCGCTTTCCCAGAAGCCTGAGGAGAAAGAATCACAAGGCCTGAGTTCTCTGCCAGCCTCACTGCTCATTAACTCTGGAAAGCGTGGGTCTCCTTTTTCTCATCTTGCAATTAGGGAGTTTTAGAAAGCATATAAGGTCTGTTTTAGCTAAAAGAATCCCTGAACTTTTTTTTTGCCAGCGTCTTCTCCAATCCAATCCATTTTTTAATTCAGATTTTTCTCCTTACTCTAAACAGTTTTTCATTTTTTCGTGTCCCTGGCAACTGGCAATAGTTATCTCATTCATCTGAAAGCTCTTTCTAGCTTCCACCGGCCAGACGGTTTTTACCTTGCGTAGGTCCTGTTTTGCTTGGGCCTTTGCCTGCTGATCTAACCAGGGTCCCCTTTAGTGTCTGCTTCAGTGAGCTACGCTGTAGTTTGACATTCTCCTTATGCTGGAAACTCCTGAGACACAACTCTCTTTACTTCCACCTGGACAGGCCTGTAGACTCCAGAGATAGCACCTCTTTACCGAACACAAAGGCACCTGCTTTCTTGCTTTTTTTCCTGTTGCTATAGATTCATCTTCCCAAATCTAAGAGAGCTGTTGGAATTTAGGAAACAGCATCCTGCCTACAAGGAAAGCCCCCTCAGCCAGTTTACCAAAAGATGACAGAATTGGTTTCAGTGGCTGGAAGTTATAGAGTTGTGGAGTTACTTTGTCAGCTGACAGCACCTGTGTCGCACCCTGTTTTTGTGTCCTGGGTGGGGAACTGGGTGTTTCACATGGTCCCACATGAAGGAAGTGCGACAGGAAAGGGGTGGGAGCTCTGATTCAAATGATGTCCTTAGGGTTGCAAGCTTATCTTTTCCTTCAATATCACTGTATTTAGAAAAATAATTTTCTAAACACACACACACTTTTTTCCTTAAAGACATGAGACTATAATTTCTATTTTTCACCACGTATTTTTCTAATTTAGTCAAAATGACTTCTGAAATCTTAGGTTTATATAAGATTTATATTATGTTTATATATATGGAGAAGTAACGTGATCTCTCTGTAGTCATTCATTCTAGCAAACGTTTGATACATACAAGGTGCCAACCATTGTGGTAGATGCTGATGATTAAAAAGGGGGGCACTTACTCTTCTGTTGAGATTTGCCCATGACCCTTGCAGTTTGGAAGTCAACTTTTAAATAAATAATTACAGTCACATTTAGAATAAAACCCAGACCGGCCCATTAGTCACTCACTCGCCCTCGTCTCCTCTTTGGGACGTGTTGCTACTGTTTTCTCTCTTGTTTCATTCCATCCATACTGGTCTCTTCTTCAAAGAGGCCAAGAATGTGTCTTGGCACTAACTATTCTTTTTCACTTTCTCTGGCACCTTCTTGTCTGTCAGGTCTCAGTTTAAGTGCCACCATCTTATGAGGGCTTCCTTGACCACCAAATCCAGGGTCTTTCTCCTTCTTGCACCCTCACTATCATGCCATTGTGTTTTGTTTTTAGTATAAATTTATCACTAGCTGCTATTTTGTGTGTGTGTGTGTGTGTGTGTGTGTGTGTGTTTGTGTTTGTCTCCACAATAGAAAGTAGACTTATCCATCTGAAACACCTCATTCCCAGTGGCTAGAACAGTGCTAGGCAGACAGACATGCTTGTTGGTAAATGAAATAAGTAAGTACAGTGGAGTGTGTAGTAGTGGAGGATGCTATACAAACCTAGCCTCGTATGCAGTGGGCTGGGAAGGCTTTCCTGAGTGTGTCTGCTAGCATAAGGCAGCCTCAACAACATTCTAGCTGGAGGACAGTAGTTTTTCTCTCGTGTAGCAGAGAATGTCCCAGGCTGCAGTGCCCATTCCTGGTGGAGAGGAGGCTCTGCTCCACACGACCATTCAGGGACCCAGGTTCTCTCCAGCTTGTTGCTCTGCCGTCCTTGGGTGTCGGTTCATGGGAGAAGCTGGGTCTTCATGAGTTCCTACTGGCGGAGAGGGAAAGGAACATGAAAGCCTCCCCCACACATCACTTCCTATGAGAGAGAGGGACGGGACCATAGTCTGGCCTGGATGAAGGAGGAAGGAGGCTCCCATCCCAGCCAACAGCCCGTGCCGCACTGACAAGAGTGAGCTGCGGGGAGCGGAAAGGGTAAGTAGGAGTTAGCAAAAAGGAGGCTCCGGGGAAAATGAAGGTCAGAGAGGGAGCAGGATGTGTGAAGGAACTAGGGCAGCAGAAGGCAAGGCCTGCTCTAGGAACAGAGAAATGTGGTGCTTCTGGAAGAAAGGGCGGAGGAACGAGGCTACAGAACTAATCAGGGTCCAGATCTTATAAGGCCGGGGCATCCCAGCCAGAGGCTCAGGCTTTTACTTGAAGGTTTTAATGGGGGGGAAATACGCATTTTTGTCAGGTGAAGAGTGAACTGGGAGAAGGGGGCCTAAAGAGGGGCTTGGAGAGTTCAGATTGGGGGAGACAGGTTAGTTTATTGAATTGTGCAGGAAGGGTAGAGAAAAAAGGGTGGAGTAGAGAGATGCTGCTCTGATGAAAAGAGTTTTCTTGCCAAACTTGTCTTGCTTATTTTTACACAACATGTATTCTTGTGAACCTACTTTAATGATGTGAGCACTCTTTAGATATCGTGTGCTGAGAATATGTACATCTGTGTACATGTCAGCTGAAGACAAGTGCTAGAGGAAGAAACAATAAACAGGACTGATTTTAGGTTCTTTAGGTCCCAAGTGTTAAATTATACCAAAGAGGCAAAGATGATACTAAGCAAAAGCAGTAGAAATTTGTTATTGGTGCCTCCGGGAAGAGATGGAAGGTACTGAAGACCGAAGAGAAAATAATTATCTAGATTGTCATATCCAGTTGTTCTACCCCTAGTTAGGATATTTGAATTTTTAAAAAATAGATCTTTATTGATTTCAGAGAGGAAGGGGAAGGGAAGGAGAGATAGAAACATCAATGATGAGAATCATTGATTGGCTGCCTCGTGCATGCTCCCTACTGGGGACTGAGCCCACAACCCTGCATGTGCCCTTGACTGGAATTGGACCTGGGGCCCTTCGTTCTGCAGGCTGGTGGTCTATCCACTGAGCCAAACCGGCTAGGGCTTAATTCTTCATAGTAACACTAGAGGCCTGATGCACGAAATTTGTGCGAGGGGCTTGGCCCTCGCAGCTCTGGCTTCCTTGGACGGTCGTTCTGTTGTTCAGTCTAATTAGCATATTAGCTCTTTATTATATAGGATTATCCATGTAAAGTAACCTTAGTGCGGGGCACCCAGCAGATGTCGGGTAGATGTGACCATTGCAGGGAGTGGGGTAATTTTCCTGTTTCTGAAAGCCTTGGATTCTAGCAAGACTCATTTCTCTTTTTGGTAGTAAGTATAAGTACAAGCACCAGTAGCTTTTTGCCTTTTCGTTCTAGTTGGGGATCGATGCAGAGGGCAGGTTTGCCGTGGTTAGATGGTAAGTCCTTGGAGAGGCAGGTTCGAAATGAAAAGACCAGTTGAAGCTGGAGTCAAAGTGCCACATTTTCAGGAAGTCAGAGGAATAACCACTAGCTTATTGGGAGCTGTTCTCATTTGAATGGAAAATATTTGTACTGCAGTTACGTTTTGGAGGGTTTTGGACTGTGCAGGGGTCGGCGCCCTTAGCCCCTGCATTGTTCACGGGCCAGCTGTCATTTCCGTCAGAGTCGGCTGGCACACGATCCGTTTCCTACAGCGCGCGGTCTGCTCCGTGTTTTTGTTTGGGAGGTCTCCGCCGAGATACAAAATTGCCTGCCCATTTGCAAAGGCAAATTCCATGGAACATGGTACCTTCATCCTGTGTCTACAAATGGTTGTTTTTGCTGAATTTTAGAGTGTCTCATAAAGAAGAGTGTTGATTTTGTGGGCATCTTCGGTTCTGTCTGTCTTCTCTCCTGGTGCTCGTTGAGGTCAGCATGAGGCTCAGCCACACTGGAAGGCCTGGTGCCTCGGTCCTGACATTTCTGGTTGTTCTATTCCAGTGGGGGAACTTACATTTGTCTCACTGAGGAAGAATTATGTTCATTTGTGTACTTGAACTTCCCGAAACACTTTCTAGAACTTGTGCCTTTTGCAGTGCTGAATATGAAGATGGAAGCCATCCGTATCTGCTATTTTGTTTGTTGGGTGCAGAGCGGTCAGTAACATTACTTTGGTGAATGCACTATTTTTTAAAAGTGTCTAGTTATGAACACGCTCTTAAGAATTTGCTATTACGTTTTATGAATTCTTTTCAGTATTATTTTAAGGCCTCATATTCCTAGACATAGCTACAAACTGCAAACTGTGTATTCTAATTCTTTTACTAAATTCTTTTGGAAGCTCAACAGATATACAATGAAAAGCAAATTTCTCAAATTTTCTCCATTTTTAAAAATAAAATATTTCTTTATTGATTTCAGCGAGGAAGAGAGAGAGAGAGAGAGAGAAACATCAATGATGGGAGAGAATCATTGATGGTCTGCCTCCTGCACGCCCTCTCCTGGTGATTGAGCCCCCAACCCAGTACATGCCCTTGGCCGGAATCGAACAGGGACCCTTCAGTTCAAAGGCCGACCCTCTAGTCACTGAGCCAAACTGGCTATGGCAATTTTCTCCATTTCTTGCTCAATTTTATGATGACAAATGTTTTTGCAAATATTTTAATAAGTACATTTTGTAAAGGCACTAGTACAGATTTTTTTTCTGTTATTATAATTTGGTATTATGTCAGTGATATAGGTGGAACAAGTTGATTTGTAAATTTATAGCCTTGAAGTTAAATTGCATTGACTCTACCCTTTAATTTACACGTCTTTTTCTCTTCAAAACTCATATAAATTATGGAAACTCTTGTGTGAAGGAGACCCAGACCACATTTTTAGAAACTGAAGGGTTCGCTCGTTCCAGCTGTCTTGTCCAGTGCAAATGGCTTTCAGTTGCATTCAGGCATGAAGAAATGTACACACTGCTTTTTTATGTTCTGTAACATCCTTTGTCATACTTCCTTCCTTTCTAGCTGTGCGTGTTTATTCTCTTACGGCTAGTAAAATTATACCGTGTGTACTGGAGTGGAGACTTTGCCCATTTTTCTAGAACTGCACAACTAAAATGGAGGGACATGAACCAATAAAACAAGCATCTACAGTCCTGCAGTTTATTTTTAAATATATATATTTTATTGATTTTTTACAGAGAGGAAGGGAGAAAGAGAGAGAGCTAGAAACATTGATGAGAAAGAAACATCGACCAGCTGCCTCCTGCACATCCCCCACTGGGGATGTGCCCGCAACCAAGATACATGCCCTTAACTGGAATTGAACCTGGGACCTTTCAGTCCGCAGGCTGACGCTCTATCCACTGAGCCACACTGGTGTCGGCTACAGTCCTGCAGTTTAATATGAGCGGCAGGGAGGAGTCACATCACCCAGCAAATACTGAGTGTCTGTCAATTGCCAGAGTCTGTGGTAGGTTCTGGCAATATAAGCAACACACAAGACAGTTATGGTACCTGCCCCCATGGAACTTACAGTGTAGCTGGGAATGTAGTAAATAATTTGAAGGTATAAGGGAGGAACAGGTGTGACGGCAGTTTATGGTATGGGGTGGGGAGTGGTGATGATTGTCACAGGAGTGTGTGTGTGTGTGTGTGTGTGTGTGTGTGAGAGAGAGAGAGAGAGAGAGAGAGAGAACAGTTTTCCCAGCAGAGACTCTGTGTTGAGTTAGAGAGCCTTCTGAAAACGGAAAGCAGGGTGGTGTGGCTGGAGGGGAGGAATCAGGTGGGAAGGTGGTGGAAGTCGCAGCAGCGGCGTTTGGGAGAGCGCTAGGGCAGGTTGAGGATTTCGGACTTAATCCCCACAGCAGTGGAAACCTGAGAGGCAGGAGGAGAGAGAAGACTGGGCACCATCCTGATGCCTTTCTTTCTCGAAAACCAAAGAGCAGTCTTTCAGTTTGCATAGGACTCCTCCCCCCTCCCTTTTCAAGTTTCAAGATTAGTTTGGAAGCTACTGGAAGTTCCAGTGAACTTGAATAGTTCCAACAGGGGTAGAGAAAAACGGCCGATTTGAGACACACTGGGAGGAGGAATGGAAGATTGGGTTATAGATCAGACGGGGCGGGGGGGGGGGGGGGGGGGGAGAGGGTGAGTCAGGGTAACAACAGTCAGTGAGTCCCAGGCACTGTTACATGCGTTCAACCTGTAGATTCTCACAAGAGCCCTGCCAGGTGGATATCGCTGCCAGTATTCATAGATGGAGAAACACTCACTGTCTCCCTGATCTCCCTGCAGGTGCTGGGTGTGTGGTGGGGTCTCATAACCGGGGTAGAGACCTGGGGTGGGGTCAGGCTCCTAAGCTGAATCTCGGACATGTTGAACGTGAGGTGTCTGTAAGACACCCAGGTGGCAGCAGAGTGGTGGTTTAGAAATCAGAATTTGGGGGCCTCGGGTGGGTAGCTCAGTGGGTTAGTAAGTAAACAAAAGAGGTTTGTCCTTCGGTCATAGGAAGCGTATTTGGGAAAATGTATCCAATCAAACGCAGCCAGCTGTGTTTCCTGGTGGCCTTTCTAACCCAGAAGCCGTGAACGGAGGTCTGATGCTTCCTGTCTCCACGCAGGTATGGCCTCACAGCTGCACTTCTCCCCCCCATCAGTGTCGTCGAGTGGCTTCTGCAGCGCCAAGAAGCTGAAGATAGAGCCCTCCGGCTGGGATGTGTCTGGCCAGAGCAGCAGCGACAAATACTACCCTCACAGCAAGCCGCTCCCGGCCGCCCCAGGGCCGGCCAGCTCCTCTCACCAGGTAGCCAGCTTCAGCATCCCCGCCTATGACCAGGGCCTCCTCCTCCCAGCGCCCGCCGCGGAGCACATCGTGGTCACGGCCGCCGACAGCTCGGCCAGCGCGGCCCCGGCCACCTTCCAGAGCAGCCGGAGCCGGCCGCACCGGAGCGCCGTGTCCCTGCTGGAGCCCTTCCAGAAATGCGGCCTGAAGCGTAAGAGTGAGGAGGTGGACGGCGGCGGCAGCGTGCAGATCATCGAGGAGCACCCCCCGCTCATGCTGCAGAGCAGGACCGCGGTGGGTGCCGCTGCCACGACCACCACCGTCACCACCAAGAGCAGCAGCGCCAGCGGGGAGGGCGACTACCAGCTGGTCCAGCACGAGATCCTGTGCTCCATGACCAACAGCTACGAGGTCCTGGAGTTCCTGGGCCGGGGCACGTTCGGGCAGGTGGCCAAGTGCTGGAAGCGGAGCACCAAGGAGATCGTGGCCATCAAGATCCTGAAGAACCACCCCTCCTACGCCAGGCAGGGCCAGATCGAAGTGAGCATCCTCTCCCGCCTGAGCAGCGAGAATGCCGACGAGTACAACTTTGTCCGCTCCTACGAGTGCTTCCAGCACAAGAACCACACCTGCCTGGTGTTCGAGATGCTGGAGCAGAACCTGTACGATTTCCTGAAGCAGAACAAGTTCAGCCCGCTGCCGCTCAAGTACATCCGGCCCATCCTGCAGCAGGTGGCCACGGCCCTCATGAAGCTCAAGAGCCTCGGTCTGATCCACGCCGACCTGAAGCCCGAGAACATAATGCTGGTCGACCCGGTGCGCCAGCCCTACCGAGTGAAGGTCATTGACTTTGGCTCCGCTAGTCACGTGTCCAAGGCCGTGTGCTCCACCTACCTACAGTCACGCTACTACAGGCAAGTGGCCAACGCCAAACACCTTGTCTTGGGCTCTAGCTCTGTCTTTCTAGTTAATATATATCATAGAAGGCTACATAGAACGATGCATGTATTTACCGTTCCCAAGATTGAAACAGGATAATGTCTTAGTTTATTTTTCAGTGTGCGGTATTCCCATAAGCAACATTACTTTAAATCTGAAATCTTTTTAACACTAGAAGAATTGTGTGATTCTGAAGCTTGTTCCTAGTTGAATTATATAATTGACCCTTGAACAACATGGCAGTTAGGGGGAACCTGCATATAACTTTTGACTCCCCCCCCAAAACTTAAATTGTTCTGTAGGGGGTTACTTCCAGGACATTGCAGATAACAAAATTCACAGGTGCCCCTGAATAATATCCCACTGTACGTACAGACCATATCTTGTTTATCCACTCATTTGGCAGTGGATACTTGTTTATTTTTACATTTTTACATTTTTGGCTACATTTTGGCTATAATAATAAAAGGGTAATATGCTAATTAGACTGGATGTCATTCCAGACATCCTTCCTGATAAAGCCTGGTTCCTGGGTGCCTGCTGGCAGCTGGAGGGAAGCCTGGGTCCCAAGTGCTGGAGGGAAGCCAGAGCCAGGCGCAGGGGGAAGGAAGGCCTTCTCTTGCACGAATTTTCGTGCATCGGGCCTGTAGTTATGAATAATGCTGTGGTGACATTGGTATTCAATTGCTTCAGTGTCTGTTTTCAGTCCTTTCGGGTTTAGTGCTAGAATAGAATGGCTGGGTCACATGATAGTGCTGTGTTGAACTCTTGGAGAAACCACCAAGCTGTGTTCCAGCTGCTGCACGATTTTGCATTCCCGCCAGAAGTGCATGCGAATTCTCATGTCTCCACATCTTCACCAACAGTTGTTACTTTCTGCGGTTTTTGTTTGTTTGTTTTTGATAACTGTCATCCTTGTATGCATGAAAGGATACCTCATTGTGGTTTTGATTTGCATTTCCCCAATGATTAGTGATGTTGAACATCTTTTCATGTACTTATTTATTATTTAAGGCCAGCTGTATGTCTTCTTTGGAGAAATGCCTGTTCAAGTCCTTTGTTCATTTTTTAATTTGGGTTGTTTTTTGTTGAGTTGTAAGAGTTCTTTATATATTCTGGGTATTAATCCCTTATCAGATATATGATTTGCAGGGTTTTTTCTCTCCCATCCATGGGGTTGATTTTTCACTGTTTTTTTTTGTTTGTTTGTTTTTCCTCAAAATTTTTAAACTGTGATGAAGTCCAATTTGTTTTTTCTTTTGTTGCCTTTACTTTTGGTATCACTTCCAAGAAATCATTGCCAAACCAATGTTATGAAGCTTTTCTTCTGTGTTTTATTATAAGAGTTTTATAGTTGTAGCTCTTATATTTAGGTATTTGATCCATTTTGAGTTAATTTTTTTAAAGTAAGGGTCTAGTTTCATTCTTTTGCATGTGGATATTCAATTTTCCCAGCACCGTTTGCTGAAGAAACTATCTCCATTGAATGGTCTTGACACTCCTTCAACTGTGTATACGAGAGTTTATTTCTGGACTCTGTTCCTCTCCATTGGTCTACATGTTTGTCTTTATGCCAGTACCACACTGTTTTGATTACTTGTAGCTTTGTAGTAGGTTTTGAAATCAGGAAGTAGGAGACCTCCAGCTTTATTCTCTTTCAAGATTGTTCGGTTATCTCAGGGAATCTCAAGATCTTAAGAATATTTGCATGGTCTTTCTCTTTCTGCAAAAAACCTCATTGACTTTGGATAGGTATTGCACTGAATCTGTAAATCACTTTGGTTAGTATTGCCATTTTAACAATATTGTCTTCCAGTCCATACTTATCTATTTTTTTCTTTATAGTTCTATAAAACAATGATATTTCTTACTTAAATGAGATAAAGAAATTCCTAGAGCCTTTGATTTGTAGTTTCATGTTGCTCTAAGCAACTTGACTAATTTTGAGACTCTCACCTCCATTTATTTTTTCATGACTTGGGAGAGTTAGGTTCCAATTATTTTTGCTTTTAATATTCTCCTTTGAGCAATCCGACGACCGGCCCCCCCCTCCCCCCCACACACACGTGTACAGCACATTCACAGGTGCACCGAAGAATTCAGTTCTGTGTCTTTATTTTGAGCTCTGGGGAAGTAAGGAGAGCACAGCTGAGAGGTGAGGGCTTTCTTGATCTTTTATCTTGTCAGTGCCTGCAGGTGTTTTACTGTTTGTCTGCCCTGTCAAAGACAAGGGCAAGGTCTGAAGCCCTTTTAAGATTGAAAAAGAGCAGTTGAGATAAGAATTATTTATGAAATAAATTTTTTTTTTTTTTTTGCTTTTAAATATATTATTATTGATTTCAGAAAGGAAAGGAAAAGGAGAGAGAGTCTTTGATGGGCTGCCTCCTGCATGCCCCCTATTGGGGATCGATCCCTAACTGGGCATGTGTCCTTGACTGGAATTGAACCTGGGACTCTTCAGTGCTCTAGCCTCTGAACCAACCAGCTAGGGTAATGAAATAATTTTGGGTGGAATTTTCTCATAAAAGGTAAAGGAGATTTGAGGGATTAAACAGTTGCTATCTTTGGTGGTTGAGTTTACGCACTAAGGTTTCCATGCTCATGTGCTCAATGCTTCCACATTCTGAACAAAGCTGAGGTCACAGTTTGTTCTGTCTGGAAGGACAAGGCCTGCAGAAGGAATGCGTATTTTCACTTTGTCCTAGGACAAACAATCCGGTTTTATCCGACAGTGAAACTGCAGCTTAATCTAAGCCACAGATGCAGGAAGTTTGCCTTTATGTAACAGCTCTGATCTAGCACGGCTGACGCCTCTACCATGGACAGGAAGCGACAAGTGTGTTCGTGAAAATGAGCGGAGAGCGATGGCTGGGAAGTGACTCTGACCTCAGCTTGCTCTGGGTTCAGGTGGCATAAAGCTTTACGACCTTGGGGAATTCTTCAGTGTAAAGAAGGTTGAGATTGGGAAATCAAAAGGCAGGCATCGCTCTTTCTGCCACCTGGCTTTGGTAATTAGAGCCTGCTTCGTGTTTGTTCTTTAAGGATGGGATGTATCTTCAAAGAGGAGACCAGCATGTCTGAAGTGCAATTAACGCCATTTTTGTACTGAAGTGCATACTGCCAGTTTTGTTTCCCTCTCTTTCCTGTGCTTTAATAGGTAATCTTTTTTACTGCCCAGCTGGTGGACCATCAGAGCTGGAAAGGCATCTAGGAGAGTAATTATCTAACTCAGCCTCCGTATTTCACAGATGAAGCAGAACCAGAATTTCAGAGTCTAGAGTTTATAGTAAGGGATTGAGAAATACTGGAGGCCAAGGGGCAAGATGATACAGTACCGAAAATATTGGCAAGAATTATCATCTGAATTCCAAGATGAAAACATTCCGTCTTTAGAGATGCGCATGCTCTCATGATTCCTTGCCATTCAGTGTCTTAGATGAGGCTAACATTTCTAGGAGTAACGATAGTGAGAAGTGCTTCAGAGGACTGAACAGCCTTCTTTTTATTTTATTTTGACTGCCTTCATTTTTTTTCTTTTGATACCTTTTTGTATGGTAGATGGTAGAGCTTACTGTTCTGAGTGAGCTTCGCTGGAAATCCTTAGCTGCTTTTATGACTCCAGAGGCAGGGCGAGGCCAAACAAAAACCAATTCCAGCCAGTTCCAAAGGCTTTGGGCTTTTTAGCTTGTTTGCTTAATAGGGTTGGAGGGCTGGAATTAGTGTTCTTAGTTTCTCTGAAAGCTCAAGTTTTATCACAGGTCACTGCTACCTTTTTAGGGAAGTGAGTTATTGGGCGCTGGCCTCTCCCTGGGACCTAGCCTTTGGGTTTTAAAATGTCCCCCGGTCGCAGTGGGAACGGCAGGATCCGGCCGTGCTCTTCTGCGGATGCTTAGTTATGCTCCGAGTCCAGTTTTCACTTTGGCGCACAGCCATCTGCCTTCTCCCTGCAGCTGTTTTTGGCACTGTCATGAACTTGGAAATTAATAATTCTACTCACTAAAAGTAAAATGTTGTTCCCTTTCAGTTTTAGAAAAGCTTTTATGTCTCTGGGTCCTCGTACCCTCAAACTTGTGCTGTCTTCAAACGTGCCGGAGTGGTTGGGGTTTAATTGAACTCTGAAATTCCATCAGGGATGTGGCTCTCGCCACCTGCAGCAGGAATGGCGCTTTTGATGGTTGTTTCTCTGGCTAACAAACCACAGCTCATTCATATCAAATAGCACAAAAACGGTCCATTAAAAGTTCCACCCACTGCTGTCACATAGTATAAGTCTCAACAGGCCTGGATCTTTTGCTGTTTTTCTGCAAGGTCAGGAAAGCTTCTAGACTCTGTAGAGCCCTCTCATTTACCCTGTTTTCTTAGAAAATAACTTGGGGAGGATATTCTTATTTAGGGAAATATCTCGACACCTTCCCCCACTCAGTCTCTGCTCGCCCCCCTCCACACACACCCAGGAAGCTCATTACTTGAAGGTACAGTTTGGGATGTGGGCGCTCCACAAGGAGACGCAAGATCTGCTTTTCCATTTTCCTCCCCTTAAATGAGGGATCTGGACCTGGTGTCCTTAAATATTCAAATGCCATGACTTGTAAGAAGAAAGGAAGTTATAGGGAGAAGGCGCTAAAGTGTTTAAGAGCTCAGACCTTGGCTCAGGCCTGCCTGGACTCCATCATCTAGTCACTGTGTGGCCTTGGGCCACTCACTTAACCCTTCCATGCTGTCAGCCATGGTATCTCTGTAGAACGCATTTCTGTCCCAAAGAGGGATTTATTGACCAAGCCATTTAATTGATTTTTCCATAATTAAAAGGTGCTAAGTAAAAAATAATAATTCTCCAATTCATTATTTATGATTTCAAAATTCAGAAACCTCTAAAAACTAAAAATCTTTTCCTAAATTTGGTATAAACTCATTGATTGGAAAAATCTGACTTGAACCAGTATAAGGCAATTGGAAGTCTTTATTTAGCTGACTTAGTATGACTGCTCATATGTTTTGTTGCAGAAATATCAATGTGCTTGATTCTGAGAACTTCCCTAAACTCCTTTGAGATTATTCTGTGATATATAGTATATTCATCATAATACCTTTCTGAAATTAAAGAAATTCTGAATGCCAAAACATGTGTGACCCCAAGAATTTCAAATGACAAAGATCGTTTTCAGTTTCATTAAATCAGTGTATCTTTAGTTGATAACTAAAACAGAATTTAGTCAATACTGTTCATTTTCCCAAATAACGTGTATCTTTTATCAACAATTTTTGTTTTTGCTAGAGCCCCTGAAATTATTCTCGGATTGCCGTTTTGTGAAGCCATTGACATGTGGTCGCTGGGCTGTGTGATAGCTGAGCTGTTCCTGGGTTGGCCTCTCTATCCTGGTGCTTCGGAATACGACCAGGTAAGAGCGTGCATTCGTTTTTTTAACGAACAGCATTTTCTCCACCTGCTTCTTATTCTGAAGTTATGTTTGCAATTCTTCAATTAAATGGGAATTGTATTTTATGTTAGATTGGTACTTTCCCAGATCTGTAATGATTTATTAGAGAACTCACTTTGGTTAACAAAGGCATCTTGTGAGTGAAGACATGAAAGCAAAGTAAGGATGAGGAATTGAGATTTTAAGAGTGAACTTTGGCTCCTTCACACCTGTTACTTCTTTCATACATGACATGCTCTGAAGGGGGTGCTCTCGGCATGCTGAAACACTTTGGGCCCCAGAGGCCCGGATGTAGCGGGTCTCTGTAGGCCTGGCTTTAGGAGGGCAGTCAGAGGACTGGGAAAGTGTTGCGATAAATGGCCGTGTCTCAAACAGACAAGCCTCAGAAGATAGGCTACATTTCCTAAAGAGCTGGTCCTGAGGGGAACAGGTTTGCCATGGAAATAAATTGCAAATTCTAATTTTTTGTTCTTGAAAAGAAGTGGTCTAACCATTTATGCTTTAATCTCGTTAAGGGCAGTGACTGTTTCATTCCACCAGTGTATCATCTGCTGACATGTGTCTTGCACATAGTAGGTATATAGGTATAGAAGAGGGTGATTGTTTTAGTTTTCTTTCCTTTTTTCTTTTTTTTTTGAGAAATAAATGGTTATCTGTTATTGAAAGGCAAAAAGAGCAAATAGTCCTTTTCCTATTCAGCCTAGAATTTTGACTCCTCAATCTATTGAGAATACTAGTATGTAACATTTACCAACTTCTAAAAATATGACTCTTTGGACATGCCTTTGAGGGAAACATAAAAAACAAGTTAACTCCTGTCGTAAGTAACCTGTTAGGTTGTGCTTTGGAATTTTTTCCACCTTCTACCTTGAGAGGAACAAGTCAGCTTCCTTATTTTCTTTTATTTTAATTAATTTAAATTCTATATTATTAAAGCAGCTTCCTTATTTTACAACAACAAAGAAGTATGTGGGAGATGAAATGACGCAAAAACCACAGTTGGTTGAACTGAGCTTTTGATTCTCGTTTTTGGGTTTTAGACCTTTTTGAGAATCTGATGAAGCTATGGATCTTCTCAGAAAAATATGCTCACCGTGTTTTGTGTACACATTTAAGAGATTCATGGGCCTCTACTTAAGAAACTTTGCTCTGAGCAGTGACAGCCTCCGAAGTGCCATTCCTAGCCCAGCAGTTTACTGGCATCCTTCAGCCTTAGGAAACAGATTGCCATTGTAACATTTCCTAGCAAGAGGAACCAAATAAAATTAAATTTAGAAGCTAAGGCACAGCTGGGGCTTTCCTTGAAAAAAAAAAAAAAATAACCTGGTAGCTTGGAGAATTTTTGTTTGGTGCATAAATGTGCAACTGTGGTCGGTAGGAGGAAAGCACAGTTGGTTGCACCAAGCTGAGTAAGTAGGATGCTGTTGTCATAGAGCAGGGAGGGGGCTGTGGGGGACAGTTTATCTTGTATCTGGTTGTATGAGAGATTTCTTGCAGCATCCTTATTCTTACAGCTAACTTTTTTTTTTAAGCAACTTTATTGGATATAACCCACATATCACATAATTCAGCCATTTAAAGGGCACAGTTCAGTGGTTTCAGTATGTTCACAGGGTTGTGAACCGTCACAACATGAGCTGCCAATCCTCATTCTCCCCCAGGCCCTGCCCTAGGCACTTGTTGGTGAAGAACTCAGAAACTTAGGCTCATCAATTTTATTTTTATTTTATTTTTTAAATATATATTTTATTGATTTTTTTACAGAGAGGAAGAGAGAGGGATAGAGAGTTAGAAACATTGATGAGAGAGAAACATCGATCAGCTGCCTCTTGCACATTGGGTATATAGGTATATATGGACGAGTGTATCTTCTGACCATTTATGCCCTCATGCCTCTTGAATATACGTCTTTTTCTCCACTGCCACTCCCCAGTCCAGGCTGTCTTATTCGTGGACCTGGGCTGCCATGTCCTCCTCTCCCGCTGTTTATTCCCGCCTCCCTTCAGTGTGTTTCCCAGAGATTTCTTCCACACAAACCTGATCATTCCGCTGCCCACTCTCCAGCGGCCTCCCCTCACTGTTAGAATAAAGGGCTGTCCTTCCCTCGGCCTCGGAGCCCCTCCCTGGCTGTCCGGGCCCTTCCGGTCTTTCTCTCGACGGGCCTCACACTGTTTCTTGTTGGTTTTCATACTTCAGCCCTCTTGGCATCATCGCAGCTCCGCTTCCTTCCACACAGCCTTGCACATAGTTCTCCGCCTGCAGCTTCCCCACAGCCGTCCTTCCATCGGGCAGCGTCTCGTCATTCATCAGCCCGAGTGTCCCTTCCTCAAGCAGCTTTTCCTCTCCGGTCCCCGGCTAGCTCGGGTTCCTTTTTAAGTATTTTTAGGGAAGCCTACTTATTCCGGTTTGAATTATGCATTCACCGTCCGTCTTTCTCACTAGTCTGCAAGGTCTATGAGAGCAGGAACCATTTCTATCTTTAAAGTCACCACTGCCAGGCGCAATAAATACTTGTTGAAAGAATGAAGGAATATATGCTATATATATAGTTATGTTCCAAGTATAAATTTATGGCTGTACTTAAGATAAGGAGCATATATACAGTATTTCATCACATCTACAACATCACTGATTAAGCTGCTCAGATATGCAACACCCCTAATTAAAAGATGCACCATTTTTCTGTACCTCTAAGAAAAAATGCTGCCAATTGAACTATGACATTATCAGCTGTAAGACATATCCTGTTCAAAGATGTGAATATCAAAAACTGTGTCTCTTAGAACCAGTGAAATGTAGTAATTTAAAAGAAAAAGCAATTATATTTAATTTGTAATCTGCTTTTTCTATTTAGTGTATTGCAAACTATACATGTTAACAAATATTTGTCTACCCTATCATTTTAAATGTCTGCATAGTATTTCATTGTACAGGTCTTATTCTGTACTTAAAAAAATATTTTACCTCTTACATGCAAAAGAAGTTTCCACTTAAACTTTTTTATTCACATTTGAAAAGTCTTCTGTTTTACTCATGCTGTGTTTTGGTTTTCACAGTTTCTGAGTAATTTCCTGCTGTTATCTAAAATTGTCTCAGGATAGATAAGCATACCAGATTGTGCCTGCAGGTCATAGTTGGCTTACCTGTGCTTTATACTCTTAAAAATTGGTGAGGACCCTAAAGAGCTTTATTTATATAGCATATACTGACTTAGTATTTAAAACTGAAGATGGGGGAAGAAGGAGAGGGATAGATAGGAAGTAAGATTTATTTCCTTGCTTACAAGTTTTTCTCTAATTTTATCTTAAGTATAGCCATTCATATAAGGAGTATTATTATGAAAATAATCTTTTTACTTCACACTTCCCCCCCCTCCCAAAAGGGTCTTGGGGTTAGACCCCCGTAGGAGTCCCCAGATCATGTTTGGGAATTGCTGGCCTAGTTTGTAGTAGGTGTTCGATAAATGTTGAATGTATGAACACAGCACTTATAGAGAAGCTAAATTAAGCTTGAGTTTATGGTACAAGAAACAAGCTCTGTGACATTCTAGAGTCGGGCAGTTGACCAGGAGCTAGAGTAGCCAAGGAAGAAAGAGGTTTATAGAAATTTTTCCTAATCATTTTAATTTGATAATGTATCAAAAACCGAAACCAAAAATCCTTGGTAATCCATGAAGTATAATTTCTTGAAAACCATTCTGTTCTGTCCTAGAAAATATTTCCTAAAGTTTTCTGAACTTTGTATCAGAAATTGACAGAGAGAGAGAGAGAGAGAGAGAGAGAGAGAGAGAGAGAGAGATTGCACACAAATTTTTGAAACTGATACAGTAACAAGGAAGTTTCTGAATACATGTTTGGGAATTACTTCTGAGTGCTTTAGCTTATATATTTGTCTTTATAGATAAATTTCATTTGTATTTGCCAACGACTTAACTTCTTTTTGATAGCTTCCTTTTTTTTTTTTGCCTAGAGCTAATAATGTTTTAGTGTAAAAGTTCTTTAAAATCTTTCTTTTCATTCCAAGTCAATGTTTTGATGTTTCAGATTCGTTACATTTCGCAAACACAAGGCCTGCCTGCTGAATATCTTCTCAGTGCCGGGACCAAAACCACCAGGTTTTTCAACAGAGATCCTAACTTGGGGTACCCACTGTGGAGGCTTAAGGTCAGTCTCCCCTGCTGGACACCCAGACCTGTCTTCTCACGCTCAAGTTCAAAGTTTGTGAATGTTTTACTTTTTTTTTTTAAGGTTACATCACTTTTCCTGGTTGGTTATCAAAGTTTATTCTTGAGGTGGAGGAGGAAAAGGGGTAGGGGTAAATATACGTTTACAGGAGGGAACACTTTGAAAAATTATTTTATTGTACCCTTTCCCTTAATTAAAAAAACAAAGCTTTAAATGCACGTTCAGTTGGCAAGGTTATTTTGAATATTTGAACCCACTGTTGAGAAAGGGAGAGTATGTATGTACTCACCATTGAGTCTTATAAACTAGAGTAATACATAATGACTGTTTTTTAGAGGATTCTCAATAAATATGACAAAGCAACATAATTTCCTAACTGCCCACAGTAAGTCCTGCTATATTTTCTTTAAACAAATATCTGCTTTTTACATCAGAGCCCGTTCCGTTAACTTGAGAGATCCCTGAATAATTTGATTAACCCTGTGACTCTCTGCCTGGGTCTTTGAATAGTTAGCGTTTGAAATAGCATCTCGTTTGAAGGAGCTGAAAGAGAAAATGGAAGCGGGACCGGGGCGTCCTCGCTGCCTGCACATGTACTTTTGGACAAGGTGGCTTCATCTCCAGGCCACATCTCTGCGCGGGAAGGTCTTCTAGTTGCAAATTACTTTCGTGGTTGTCGTCTCTGGTTGGCAAGGAGACGGCACTTGTTTCTTTGTGTTCTGGCTTTTCATAGAATAAAATGTGGAAATAATATAAAGAAGGGATTTTTTTTTAAAAAAAAATCTGTATTTTATAGACTCCTGAAGAACATGAATTGGAAACTGGAATCAAATCAAAAGAAGCTCGAAAGTACATTTTTAATTGTTTAGATGACATGGCGCAGGTGAGTAGAGTATCTTTCAGGCATTTACATATCTCTGTTCAGAGCCATACTTCTGTTGGTTATAGTGAAGGCTGAAATCTGTTATCTTTTAGTATATGTCTTCATTTTTCACAGAAAAAAATGCATTGATAGTTTGCCCTGTAATAAAATAACATTTGAATCCTAACAAAGGATACTTTTATATGTTTTTTTCTTGCTTTTGTTAAACTGGTTTTACTACATGTCATAATTCTTAAAAAGATATTTTATTGATTTTTAGAGAGAGAGAAAGAGAATCATCGATGTGAGAGTGAAACATTGATCAGCTGCCTCCTGCATCTTCCTCTCCCTCACCAGGGAATCAAACCGGCAGCCTTTCAGTGCAACAGTCAATGCCCAAATGACTGGGTGACACCTGTCAGGGCATTGTCAGTATTTTGATATATTGTTTGTGAAAGTTTCTTTCTTGTCCATTTTCTCTACTAAATAAATACAGGATGTCCCTAAGAAATGTATACATGCTTTGCATCATTGATAATTCCAGTGGGTTAAAGATGAAAAGAAAAATATCAACTGAGCTATCAGCTGTTAAAGTCTATATACATTTTTTGGGGACACCCTACTTATTAAGAGCTAACATTTATTGAGCATTATTATGTCCCAAACTCTAGTTAAACACTTTGTACTTATGTCGTTCAATTTTTTTAACAATAGAAACTTATATTTAAGTAATCATAGTCATTTTTTGCTTAACTTGTTTGATTCAGATTTTGAATGAACAGAAAATTAGTTAGCTTTATTCTACCTACATACTCTACCAGATTGAAGATTTTAAATAAGAAGAGCTTCCACCTTTGAAAGTGATTAGTCTAATAAAAATAATTTCCTCAAAAATGTTTGAGTACTGTATATAGTTTGGGGAGAAAGCAGATAGTTGGTGGTAGCATTAAAGATTAAGTAACGAAGCATCATGTTTCTTAATTTTCCCGGGAAGGTGAACATGTCCACAGACTTAGAAGGAACAGACATGTTGGCAGAGAAGGCGGATCGCAGAGAATACATTGACCTGTTAAAAAAAATGCTAACAATTGATGCAGATAAGAGAATTACTCCTCTGAAAACGCTTAACCATCAGTTTGTAACCATGACTCACCTTCTGGACTTTCCACATAGCAATCAGTGAGTATGGCATGGTTTGGGGCATTTTACCCTTATGTGCTCATCTGTTGTGTTACCATCTAATAGGTAAATGGAAATACCACGTGAGCAGCAGCTTTGGGGCTTACGTATTTGGCTCACTGATGCTTTTTCTTTCTCATTGAAAAATTAGCAATTAAAAATCAGATATGTATGTTTCCCTATGGTTATAAAAACTCTTATTCATTTGATCTGAAAATACTCGGGCCCGGCGGGAGGCCAGGAGGAGGATGTTGATCCATATTCATCTTGAGTTATTTTCATCTGTTCAAATCTCAGCATTCATTTCAATGAACCTTTCATCTCTTTTTTTAGTGTTAAGTCTTGTTTTCAGAACATGGAGATCTGCAAGCGGAGGGCTCACATGTATGATACAGTGAGTCAGATCAAGAGTCCCTTCACGACGCACGTGGCCCCAAATACAAGCACAAACCTGACCATGAGCTTCAGCAACCAGCTCAACACCGTGCACAATCAGGTAAATGCTTTTGGAAACGCAGGAAACTGGTAAGAACATCAGTCTTGGCTTCGATGGTCTTATTGCTGCTTAAGAATTTTCTACCTGGCAAAGGTGATGCTAGCCAGGGTAGACTGATAATACTCATCAGTCATGTGCTGACAGAAGTTAAATCATTGTCAAATAAACTTAGCCTGGCTATTGTACTCCTTACTGCTGTTAGTCGTACTGACTTAAGCCAAATGACTCTGTTGGAAGGATTTTATATGTCTCGGTACAGTAATTTTTTATATGCTGAACTGGAGTCCCAGAACTTACTCATCTATTCAGTGGAAGATTGTCCCATTGACCATCTTCACGCACTCTCCCCTTCCTGTCCCTGCTCTGCCCGGCACCCACCAATCTACTTTCTGCCTCTATGAGTTCAGTTGGGTCCCTCCAATAATTAACTTCAAGAGTGGTTTGCATATAAGTTTTCTGATTTCTTATCTAGGTCTATTTTTAAATGAGATTTGGTGGAATTCAGCAACATTTTGCATAGAAAGGAGTGATAGGGGCTTATATAACCTCAACCAGTACAGGACCATTTTTTATGCTTTTTTTTTTTTTTATCCTCACGGGAGTATATATTTATTTACTTTTATTTTTTAAAATATATTTTATTGATTTTTTTTACAGAGAGGAAGGGAGAGAGATAGAGAGCTAGAAACATCGATGAGAGAGAAACATCGACCAGCTGCCTCTTGCACACCCCCAACCGGGGATGTGCCCACAACTAATGTACATGCCCTTGACCGAAATCAAACCTGGGACCCTTCAGTCCGCAGACTGAGGCTCTACCACTGAGCCAAACCAGCTTTGGCAGGAGTATATATTTATTGATTTGAGAGAGAGAGAAAGAGACATCGATCAGTTGCCTCCCATCCACACCCCTCCCTACCAGGGATCAAGCCCAGAACCTAGGTACGTGCCACGATGGCGAGTCAAACCTGAAACCTTTTGGTGCATAGGACGGTGCTCCAATCAATTGAACCCCAGGCCAGAGCCCGCTTTTTCTTCTTTGTGTTCATATTCAACCTTATAACACGTCTTAAATATAGAGACTGCATTACATTTTAACACCTGAAGTTTTTCTGGATAGATTCCCTGTGTATAAAAATATTGCTCTCTCTGTACCAGTGTACAACTCTAATCCTTTTGTTTTTAGGCCAGTGTTCTAGCTTCCAGCTCCACGGCAGCAGCTGCTACTCTGTCTCTGGCTAACTCGGATGTCTCCCTGCTGAACTACCAGTCGGCTCTGTACCCGTCGTCTGCAGCCCCGGTGCCTGGCGTGGCCCAGCAGGGCGTCTCCCTGCAGCCCGGAACCACGCAGATCTGCACGCAGACAGACCCCTTCCAGCAGACCTTCATAGTCTGTCCGCCCGCTTTCCAGAGTAAGGCCCTGCGGTCTATGTCAGACTTGCCTGCTTCAGGCAGATCCTTGTTAGTTTTAACTCTCTCTGATTACGAAGTTAACTAAAATTAACAAAGTGGATTTACCTTTTTTTTAAAATTTTATCTAATTTGGTACTATCTGACACTTGACAGGAGTCCAATTAATGTTTCCTTATTTGAATTGCCTGATTTCAGTTTTATTGCCCATTGAGGCCTAATATCAATGTCACATATCTTGTTACAAGCCTGTATCTCAATATGCAGAATCAATAATCTTGAAAAAATTTGTTGTAAACACAGTTGCTATATATTGAATCTTATTTCCTATATCATTCCATATAAAATAAAGTTATAGTGTGTTTTTTAGCCTCACCTGAGAATATTTTTTACTTTTTTTTTTTTTTTTAAAGAGAGAGAGTGGAGGGTGAGGCAGGAGGGGAGGGAGGGGGGGAGAGAGAGAGAGGGAGAGAGGGAGAGAGGGAGAGAGGGAGAGAGGGATTGGCTGCCTCCCACACGCTCCCAGACTGGGGCTGGGGATGAGCCTGCAACCGAGGCACATGCCCTTGACCAGGAATCGAACCTGGGACCCTTCCTTCCAAAGACTGACACTCTAACCACTTAATCAAACCGGCCAGGACAAAATGGTTAGTTTTTTTAAGGAGAAAGCCAGTGAGTACCCCATGGGAATAAGCCAGGATTCAGGCTCCTCAGCACTTGTCCATAGAAGCGGGTAGCGCTGTTATCTTTTTACTGCAGTTACTCACTGACTGTGACTTCTTTGTTTGTTTGGTTTCTGACAGAGTCGGAGCAAGCAGAAGGAAAAGAGGGGCTGGGGGAGACTGAGAGATCCCCGGGAGGAGAGGAGAGCGATAGTGATGTAAACTGGGGAGAGACCCCAGGGAAAGCGGAGGAGCAGATTCACAGCCTGTAAATGCAAACCTAGCCTCACTACCCAATTCTTTCCTGCGTCTGCCTCACACAAACATTCTGTCCTCCGGGTGGTCACAGGCTGAGGGGTCCCGCTACTGAGTTTAGCAAATAGCCACGCCTTGGCCCCTCACCTTCTCCAGGTTGAGTTTCATTGGAACAGCTTTTCAATGTGGGACTCCAGCTCTTTTGCTTCTTCTCAGACGATAGTTAAGAGATGAGGTACACATCCTTTTCGTTCCTTAAACAAAACTAAATGTCCACTGCAGAGGTACAGGGCTAAAGCAGTAACCACTGTTGATGTAATTAAGTAAGTATAAGCTCTGGAGAAGTTTTTTCTATTCAGAAAGTCTAAATCACCCGAGGAGTAGAGAGCACATTTTAAAGTTTCCAAATGCGAGGGAGTTTTTAAATGAAGGACATGGTGACGATGAAAGCTTAAATGTATGACTACATGCCAGTTAGTATTCCGAACGATTTTCCATGTACTCATTCATTCTCACAACCACCCCTGGAAGTGGGTACATCATGGCCAATTTATAGATGAGAAAGTTGATCATGATTCCCTCAGCTGCCCAATTTTTTCTAACTAGTCCGTGGTAGAACCACAGTTGGAACCCAGGCGGTGGGGTTCATAGCTTATGTGTTTTGCAGTATTATTCTATACAACCTCTCAGGATTTAAACTCAGATAGCTGTGGTTGATTTGCCAGCCACAGCCATGTGCTGGCTTCTGCCCGGCAGGTCTGTTTATTCCAGGCCGTCTGCTTGTCCTTCACCATCTGCTCTTCTGCGAAATGCCCGTCCTCAGAGGAGAAATGGGCCCTCAGGCATTAGACAGTTTACTCTTCTTTCCAGACTTCCTCGGTTTTTATTTAAAGGGCTATGTTCCACAGAAATAAGACACAACATTTTAATCCTTCTGAGTTCAGGGAAGAACCTTCCAGAAATGTTGCCTTTTATGAACTTCCTTGTCTCCACTTGGGGTTTCCTGAAACTAGCTTCACTGCTGTGACTTAGCCTAAGAGACTGCGGCGACGGCAGTCACAGGTGTAGGCCGGCGCTGTAAACACCGCTTTCTCTGCTCTAGTGACCAGAGTAGACGCACCTTTTGCTCATGGAAACTTTTATTCTGCAGTTTTTGTCCCCTTTTACCTCCTCATTCTGGGACCCATAGTTGAGCTTCTGTAGTGACCATTTCTTCCTGAGTTTTGCCTCCTTACTGTCTGCTAATTTGTAGGAGGCTATTACAGTAACATTGTTGGGCCATCAGCCATGTGTCCTTTTAAAAAACTTATTAGAGTGTTTTAATTACGATTTTTGCTAGTTCCTCTTACTTTGTATGTTGTGACGGTTTGTTACTAAATTAGTTGGAAATTACTGAAATGCAATCCAATGACAACTTGCTATAAGCAGCAGTATTAGAGTTTATGAGTTATGCTCATTGGCTACCTCCATAATATTTTCTTATCTAATGAAAACTGAAGTTATAATTATATTTATGCTTTTTAATTGGTTACATTTTAAAAACACATTTTTTCCCCTAGTGGATTAAAAGTTGGGTGTGATTTACTAAGTGAAGGGTATTTTTTTTCTTTCTTTCTTTTTTTTTTGCCTATATTGTTTGTTCGTGAGAACGGGATGGTTGTTGTGCTTTTAAGTTTTGCAGGATAAAAAATATTTCAGAATTCCTTTAAATCAGCCCTCCGTGTGTCAGACATCTTTTCATTAATCCCACCTGAGGGGGTGAGGGTGGGGGTGGGGGAGAGAACCATGTCTCCCTTTTCTTAATTTCCCAGACTTCAGTGAAACTGCTTTGTCTTAAGTGTCTAGAACTAAAACTTAAGTGGCAGATTATTCGAACGGAAAAGCTAACGCCCCACCTCCCCCCCCACTGGGTAAGCAGACAATAGCCCCAGGCCCCGCAGGCAGAGCGGTTTAACGGGTGCTGTTTTCTGCAGCTGGACTTCAGGCCACGACGAAGCACTCTGGGTTCCCTGTGAGGATGGATAACGCCGTGCCCATCGTCCCCCAGGCGCCGGCGGCCCAGCCGCTGCAGATCCCGTCGGGCGTGCTCACGCAGGTGAGGGCCGGGCCGCGGCACCCGTGTTGCCAAAGCACTGTTGAGAATAGGGAATTTTGTCCCAGAAAACGGTGTTTGCTTTGAGTGTAAGATCTTTCCTGGCCATGATTCAGTGGACTTAAAGAGGAACAGCTACGATGGAACAGTGTCCTCATCCCCCCTCTGCCAGCGTCTGCCTCGGGCCTGCAGGGACCCATGGCCAGACTTGGAGAAGTTGTCTTTTGAGTCAGTGTCCTCTCATTCTGGGAGATGAAACTAATGGCTTACGTGGGCGCTTTTAGAGGTCAGGACGTGTGTAACCACAGTGTGACTCTGAAAAGGAAGGGCTCCCCTTTTGCTCCCTAGTGTCTGTCCTCTTGGGTCCCTCTTTTAGAATGTCACCACCGTTGAGAGAGAGGCCGGACATAGGAGACGCCTCTTCAGGCTTTATTCCCTGTGCCTCGTTGGCCTTCAGAGCTTGGAGTCTTTATACCTGCCCCGGAAAGGTCAAGAAAATCTTAGAGTATCCATACAGGCGACAACAGCATACATCTTTTCCATTCTGTGTGTTAATGTTCACGGCCCGTGACATATGGGCAGTTCTGAAATCCCGGCCCCCCAATTCGTGACTAGGACTTTTTAACACCCGCCTCTGGACCTGAGTTTGTAGAACTGACCCATGAATCTGGCCCCAGAAGGATGCCTGTGCTTTTTTTGCTTTAGGCCATTGGCCTTTGACCCAGGGGGCCCCCGCTGTGCAGAGCTGAAGGGGAAAGGTATGTTTGGTATGTGCGTTCCCGGCGATAGGACATGAACGACTGCTTATTGTTGGTAATAACGTGGCGGGGGACGAGCGCCCTTCTGAATCCAGATGACCTGCCTCCGTGTTTGTTCACTCACCTGCCTCATCTACGTTTCAGGGAAGCTGTACGCCACTAATGGTAGCAACTCTCCACCCTCAAGTAGCCGCCATCGCGCCGCAGTACGCGGTGCCCTTTACCCTGAGCTGCGCAGCCGGCCGGCCGGCGCTGGTGGAACAGACCGCTGTACTGGTAACTTCCTCACTTGTTACTAACGGAGTTTTGTTTTTTCCTTTGGTTTCTTTCTTTCTTTCCTTTTCTTTTTTTCGTTTTTGTTCTGTTTTCTCATTTTCCAAAAACGTTTTCCACTTGGTCTTTGCAGAGGGCATGGAAGCATGTGCCATCTTGTGGCTGTGTTCTTGCTGCATCTTTAATGTCTCATTGTTTTCCTCCCCAACGTTTGCTGAGATGCTGTGGACCGTGGGGTGCCTGTCAGGAGCCAGCCTAGTGGGGGAAGAGCTCTTGGGTAACTCAGAAGCGCCCAGCACCCTCTGTCTTCTGCCCTTGACCTCTGCTCCTTGAGAAGGGAAGACATGGCCCTTAGTGTGGCTCTGCCGCAGGCACCCAGGTGGCCAAAATCTGAACTGCTTGCGAGTTAGCATCCTTCTTTATTTGCTGTTGTAAGCTTCTAAAACTTTTGTGCTGTAGACATGTGTAAGATGCTCTCCATTTATTGCTTCCTCTGTTGCTATTAACTCTCGTCCATGGGCCATGAAGATAAGTCTTTTTGCCACTCACAGTCAGTGGCAGCTTATATCTTCCATTGAAAGCTACTGCCTTAGAATCACTGCAGATCGTGTTTGTTGATTGAAATTAAAGGTGAACTCGTTTTTAGGGGTTTATGGATAACTTATTTTACAAATAAGTCTTCATCCAAAGGTGAAAATATGGATCAAAATTTTATGCAGATACAAGATTTGTTCCTAAGAATTTCGAGGGAAACTTATTAAACACAACTGAGAGGGGAAGAACATGCAAACAGGGCTTTGAGGAGCATTTAGGACCTGTAACTTTAAGAGTGATTTTTCGAAGTGTTGTTTGGGAGAGTTAGAATTACTTATTGGACGTCCATCATTTTAATACTTTGAAATTGAAAAGCAGACAAGCACTTCAAACCTAGCTGAAACCAGGGGTCCTGACACTTCTGCAGCCCCTCAGGGAGGCTGTCAAGCTCTCTTGTTGCTCAAGGACTCGTCTGAGTGAAAGCACTTCCAAAAACATCCTGTGGTGGTTGGAATTGGTTTGGTTTTCAGTTTACAAAGCCCTTTCTCGCCTCCAGATTAATTCTATCGTAAGAGTAACTCCCGAGTGTAAGGAAGCCAGATCTAGTTCCAACTGGACTGATCTGAGCTCCTGGTCTTGATCGCTCACGTCTAGCGCCGAGGTTGCGATGTCATTGACGCTTCTCCTCTCCCGCTTCGCTTAAGCTTGCGCTGGCCGTTTGCTAAGCTTCGCATATTTTTGTTCTTCTATCGATACAGTTTCGTCGCTTGGAACGCCAGATTTCTGCCTCATGTTGGAATGTTATTTCTTGCTTTGTATTAAACTACTTGCTTTGTCTTGTGCAGGTGTTGGCTTATGGAAAGACGCATGGGGTGACTTAACATATTTATTTTTTTTGTTGTGTTTTAAATTCTGCTTATGGTAGCAGACATGTTTGCCGTTTGTCTGCTTTGAAGGCTTCTTGTTTGGGACCGGCATTTGTAACAAGTGGATCTGTTCTTTGCAGAAATGTTTTTAAAACACTGTCTGATGGCCTTGCAGTTTGAAACGCAAGAAACAGAGCCGTATGCACCTGAGCACCATAGGCGATTGTACTGTAGACTTCAGGTCTAAAAAGGAAACTTTCAAATCTGTTCGTATTTTTTTAGAAAATGCCAGAATTTCTGTAAGAAATATAGACGACATATCCATCGCTGTCTATTTCAAGTGACATGGCTTGTGAAAAACGAGAAAGGATATGTTTTCTTGTAGTGATTAGTTTTCTGTTGAAATACGTTTCTACAAATGATACATAAAACAGTATGTTTTAGGTAACTATAAAAACAAAATACGGTGCTCTCTGCATCTGTTTCATAAATGTTTTACTTACTGCCTTACGTCAAAATCCTACGAAAGGGCCATAAATGACGGAGTCAGCTTTCTCTTGCTGACGCCAGCTTGATTGCCACAGGATTTTGGCCTTCGGTCATCCACATCCGGCTCCATTTTCCAAGTGCTGCCTTTTTAAAAAGCAACACTTCTCCCCTTGGTTTTATGGGTTTGATGGATCTGATGTCTTATCTGATTGGCGCTCAAAATCTAAATTCCTATTTTGAACCTCAAGGGAGCTGTCTTAACACTTTCTAGGGACATTCTTTAAATCCCCGCACAAATGGTGCTCCAGCCCTGGACCAGAGTTGACCTCTGAACTTCCAGACTCCTTTGCTCTAGAGTCTCTCTCGGGGGCTGGTCAGGTTAAGGAGGTGGCTGAGAGAAAGCAGCCTGTCCTCTTGCCCTAAACATAAGACGCATAACCTTGAGCCCCTCTGATCTTTCTTTTTGAATCTCTGCAAGTTAATAATCTACAAGCGATTTCTTTTAAGATGTGAATTTTTCTTTCATCTAATAACAAACACACACACAAAGAAAAAGCCAAGAGCGAGTCCAGTCTGGATCTCTCTGTGTTTCCTTGCAGCAGGCTTGGCCCGGAGGCACCCAGCAGATTCTCCTGCCCTCCACGTGGCAGCAGCTGCCCGGGGTGGCGCTGCACAACTCTGTCCAGCCTGCGGCCGTGATCCCGGAGGCCATGGGCGGGGGCCAGCAGCTCGCAGACTGGAGGCAAGTGCCCTGCGCTCCTCTCTGGGCCGTGTGCAGGGCAGCCCCCGGGGCCGGGCACCTGGCGATGGGGGGGACTGGGGAGAAAAGAAAGGAGAGCTCATCTCTGTTTGAAATCCTTCAAAAAGAGAACTCGTATCAGGCGAGGAGATGGCGTTGTAAGCAGATTTTGAATACAGGGAAATAACCGGTGCTCAGTCAGGAATCACATACTTCAGATTTTTAAAAATATATATATTTTATTGATTTTTTACAGAGAGAAAGGGAGAGGGATAGAGAGGTAGAAACATTGATGAGAGAGAATCATCAATTAGCTGCCTCCTGCACACCCACTACTGGGGATGTGCCCGCAACCAAGGTACATGCCCTTGACCGGAATCCAACCTGGGACCTTTCAGTCCGCAGGCTGACGCTCCATCCACTGAGCCAACCCGGTTTCGGCTGTACTTCAGATTGAAAGGAAGTCTGAGGCAATTAGGAACCCCACAGTGAGGACTTGCAGCCTGTGGTGCACATGGTGCATGACCAGGAAGATGCAGCTCCTCTGGGTCGTTTGAATTGCTGCCAATAGCTCCTTGGCCCTGGTCTGCCAGTGCTTGGGGCACTCACTCTTCTCATCTCTTCCCGGGGCTGCAGGAGTGCCCACTCGCATGGCAGCCAGTACAGCACCGTCATGCCGCCGTCCTTGCTCACCAGCCACGTGACGCTGGCCACCGCGCAGCCCCTGAACGTTGGCGTTGCCCACGTCGTCAGACAGCAGCAGTCCAGCTCCCTGCCTTCGAAGAAGAACAAGCCGTCGGCTCCCAGCTCCTCGAAGTGAGTCTCGTTGGAGCAGGCCAGCTCAGCGGGGCCAGTGGGGGGCGATGTTGCCCCACACGGAGCATGCAGTGTGTGGACACTTGGGAAGGAGGGGCCGAGGAGGAGCAACCCTCTCCCCTGGGCTTGCGCACCAGGTGGTCCTGGCTGTGTGGTCCCTTCTCTCCGCTGCCACCTGGGCCCCGGCCTTCTGTAGGCTGCAGTGTGACTTTCCTGCTCACTTTACAGAGTGAAGGTTAACCTGGGGGAGACGCATATAAAAATAAGATTCATGTCGTATTTTGGTGTGCTTGGCCCTGGAAACCCTGGCTAGAGTGGCTGGTTTAATTTTTATTGGAACTTTTATAATTGGGTGTATTGGCTTCACCATTAGGTAGAAAGAGCAATTTGGAGAGAGCTTTGGGGAAAAGATGTACAGTTTTGAGGCCAAGAACTGAATGCTCTTTCTTCTGACCTTGGCCTGCAGGTCTTCTCTGGATGTACCGCCTTCTCAAGTCTATTCCCTGGTGGGGAGCAGTCCCCTCCGGACCACGTCTTCCTATAATGCCCTTGTCCCCGCCCAAGATCAGCATCAGCCAATCATCATTCCAGACACTCCCAGCCCTCCCGTGAGTGTCATCACCATCCGCAGCGACACCGACGAGGAGGAGGACAGCAAATACAAGCCCACTAGGTAAGAGGGGTGAGCGGTGGCTGCTCCCCATGGCCGTAATCTGCTGGCTTCAGGCGAGTGGGAATGGGAATGGCTGAGGCAACACTTACCATTGTCAGACGCATGTGCCCTGGAGTCATTCTGTCCTGGGTTTGAATGCTGACTCATCACTGTGCCCTGGTCAAGTTTCTTCATTTTCCTATGCCTCAGTGTCCTCATCTTCAAAATAACAATGGTAGTAACTACTTCGTAGAGGTGTTCCAAGTACTCAGTGAGATGTAGAGTGTAAGAACAGTCCCTCAGAAGTTTGCTGCTGCTGTCATCATCACTGTTGTCACTGTCATTGTTGGCATCCTCCTCATCGTCACCCTGGAGGGCCAGAGACCATCAAAGAAACTGCTAGAAGGAGGTTGAATTCTCATGTATTTTCTTCTCCTCAGCTCTGGGCTGAAGGCACGGTCCAATGTCATCAGCTACGTCACTGTCAACGACTCTCCCGACTCCGACTCTTCCCTGAGCAGCCCGTATTCCACCGAGAACCTGAGCGCTCTCCGGGGCAACAGCGGGCCCCTCGTGGAGGGGCAGGGCAGAGGCGTGGGCGACGGCCCTGGCACCCGCACCATCATTGTGCCTCCGCTGAAGACTCAGCTTGGTGACTGCACGGTAGCAACCCAGGCCCCGGGTGAGTGACTCCAGCTGGAGTTGAATTCTCCTTTGATGTGTGTATCCTTAACATTTTGTTATGCCGATGGCAGAGACTTCTTAAAGATTACTTACGTAATTCAGAAACTAGTTCCTTGTGAAATTAATTTTGGCCGTCAGTTTACCTTTATGTTTATTTTGCTTGGATTAATATAAAAACGAATTCGTAGTCTCACAAATACACTCACTGTTGATTGGAGAAAGTTGACAAGACATACTGTAAGTGGCAGGGAGAATTAGCAATGTTTTTGTTGTCTTGCTGTAGATTAGGGGTGTCGAACTCAATCAGAGAAGGGGCCAAAATCTAAAATCCAGCCTAAATCGCGGGCCACCGGATCACTGCTCCAGCCTCCTGCTGGGGAAGTGCTGGAAGTTGAACTTGCTTATTCAGCTGCCCTGCAGTTTCTTAGAATTGGAAGACAGTGAGTGCCCACAAGATAGAACTTCGCCTGCCTTTCAACCCTGTTAATACTCAACTGTCCTGACTATTACCAGTATCTTACTTAGCTTCTCGTCCATTCTACTCTTGTTTACTCCCTTCCTACATAAAGCCAGGAAGAGACAGGGACAGGAACTGTGCCTTGCTTGTATTTCAGTCAATACGTGGCACATCAGGAGGTTGGAGAATATCGAGGGGAGTGAACACGGTGAGGATCCTTCATGAGCTTTGGACAAGGCAGAAAGGAGAGGGAAATACAGTGTGTGTTCCGGAGTCCATGGCATCAGGACACAGGATTCACCTGACACCTTCACTCCGCAAGCCTCCCGCTAACGTGGGCTGGTGACGCTGTGCGAGGCCCTCGGAGGCTCCGCCCGTTATCCTAGCCAGGTCTCCTGTCCCTAACGAAGGCCTGCCCTCTCCTAGGTCTCCTGAGCACCAAGACCAAGCCCGTGGCCTCGGTGAGTGGGCAGTCCTCCGGATGCTGTATCACCCCCACGGGGTACCGAGCGCAGCGCGGGGGCACCAGCGCGGCACAGCCACTCAACCTCAGCCAGGTAAGCGCCGGGGGCTGCTGGCTTCTGTGGGGACCCCCCTGTTACTCTCTGGACAACCCACTTCCGGCTGGACCGCTGAATAAAGCCCAATGAAGCTCCTTTTGTGTCAAACAGTGTGGTGTTCTGTGGCCCGTGTCAGCTCCGCACGTGCTGTCTCTGCATCCGTGTGTAAGCGTGTGCAGGATGCACACCCAGGGTTTCCATCAGACGGACCCGTCTGTCCTGGGAGACGAGAGAAATGTCTGGAATGCAGGAGGAGCCTAAGCGCTCAGTCCGCGTCTGGTTCTGCAGCACCACGCGCTTTGAGACCAGATTCTCTTGCTTCATCTCCTGATCATAAATTACAAGAGCCTCACGCTGCTTGGGGCAAGAGACGGGGAAAAGCTGTCTGGCCATCTTATCACCAGTTCTAGTCCTACATGTGTGAGTCCGGGATTTGAGGCCTTTTCCTCCCATCCGATCCTCTGCTAGGGTACGGGGATCACTATGCCATCTGCAGTCACTCTTGCTCAGCTCCAATTCTGGTGCCTGCGTGACGTCTCCTAGTAGTGAGAAAGGGTACATATGAGAATATAAAACTGCATGTGTGTGTGTGTGTGTGTGTGTGTACACGCATGTGTGAGAGAGAGAGCACACACATGCAAGTGCAAATATAAATTCGAGTTAGTGCGTGTGTTTTAAGCTCCACAATTCTCGAGGGAGAGGAAGAACTTAGAGGAGAACAAGAGAAAGCATGGCCAAGAAAGAAAGGTTAGGAAAAATGCAGACTCACTGACGCCAGACTAGGGTGAGCTGAGCCACCAGCCACTAACCTGCAGGAGTGGGCAGCCCTCCGGACGCCTGACCCGCTTCCTGTCATGCTTAAGGGCCAGGCGCTGCCCTCTGGGCTGGGCTGGGACGTGCTGCCAGGAGGCAGGGCTGGACGGCTGGCAGCCCAGCGGCAGCGGAAGGTAGAAGCTCAGCTCCCAGCTTGGCCTTGGGCGCCCTGACCCAGAGTGACTGCGCGATGCCTTACTCCCTTCTTCCTCCTTCCAGAACCAGCAGTCATCGTCCGCTCCAACCTCGCAGGAGAGAAGCAGCAACCCTGCCCCCCGCAGACAGCAGGCGTTTGTGGCCCCGCTCTCCCAAGCCCCCTACACCTTCCAGCATGGCAGCCCGATACACTCGACGGGGCACGCACACCTGGCCCCCGCCCCTGCTCACTTGCCAAGCCAGCCTCACCTGTTCACGTACGCTGCCCCCACCTCCACCGCTGCGCTGGGCTCCACCAGCTCCATCGCTCACCTCTTCTCCCCCCAGGGCTCCTCCAGGCATGCCGCCGCCTACGCCACCCACCCCAGCACCCTGGTGCACCAGGTCCCTGTGAGCGTGGGGCCCAGCCTCCTCACCTCTGCCAGCGTGGCCCCTGCTCAGTACCAGCACCAGTTTGCCACCCAGTCCTACATTGGCTCGTCCCGAGGCTCAACAATTTACACCGGATACCCACTGAGTCCAACCAAGATCAGCCAGTACTCCTACTTGTAGGTGGTGAGCGTGAGGGAGGAGGGCCGTGGCCGCCCGCTCTGGCCCCCAGCTCTGCAGGACGGGCTGTGCTCAGCTCCTCCCCTGCCCTCCCGAAGCTCCCCGGCCAGCCCCTCGCTCTGTAGGGCCCGCTGGCATGACAGAAGGTTTTTCTCTGGGGACCCTGGCCCAGTGTTGACAGCATTGTAGTCTCCCAAGTCCGCCTGTTTTTAATTCCTTGTTTTTGTGCCATCAGTCTGCTGTTTAGAAGAGTCAGACGCCCATCTTCCGCAGTGACCATGGGGAGAGGTCATTCTGAAGTCACCCTTTGGAAAATGTTTTCTCTCGGACTTTGTTTCTATTACATGCTTTTAAAACAAGTGTTGCCCCTCTTTATTTAACTTTGTTTTATTGTAGTTACTGGCCAGAGGGAAAATGCCAATAGAAGGACTTGGAGTTTGTTAGTGAGAAAAAGAAAAAAGAAATCATTGCTTTGTGCTTGTTGAAAACCAAGACCTAATTTGCCGATTTTAAGAGTCGCTCTCACAAGTACCTGTTTTCCCATCAGGCACTTCTCCTCAGAATTTTACTGTGTCTGTGAGATATTTAAACCTACAGTGTTGTAGTTTTGTTTCCATGTCACATTGTACTTAACGGGCAATTGTTATTTCTGCATAACTGGTTGTGCACTGCTCTGGATTACTGATGGGAGTCTCTCAGAGCTCTGTGTTCAAAAGGCTGCTCACCGTGCGGTAACAGCGCGAGAACCCATGCCTGCCATGAAGACACAACGCCCCAGGGGTTCTTAAACGGAGCACCGTGCATTATTTTGAAATTATTTTTTAAAATGTCCTCTGATTCAGCTCACATTGTATTATGGAAAAGCCATTGAGGTGGTTGCTATTGTGTGGTGGTGGTGGTTTTATTATATGCAAAAGCTCTTTGTAGTATGCGCTACTGGCATTGATGAGCTTCGCCTAAAGAGTAGTATTTTCAATAATCCACCTCTCCCTCTCCTCCCCTCACCTCTTCCTTCTGTTCTCTGTGATTGATTTGGGGAGAAAGGGAAAGAATCTGAGACCCAATGAGAACATTGTGTATAGCTTTTATACTTTAGACTAGCTTCCTTTGTATGCCAGCAGCAGACTGAATGCTCTCTTATTAAGACTTATACAATAAGTGCATGTAGGAATTGCAACAAAAAAAAGTATTTTAAAAATTTATTACTGAATTTAAAAATATTTTAGAAGTTTTGTAATGGTGGTGTTTTAATATTTTGCATAATTAAATATGTACATATTGATTAGAAAAATATAATAAGCAATTTTTCCTGCTCTCCCAAGATGTTATTTGTAATCAAATGTGTAGTGATTACACTTGAATTGTGTATTTCGTGTGTACCCGATCCTCCAGTGTTACCGGGAGATGGCATTGGTGTCTCCACTGTATTTAAACCAAATGAACTGATCCTTGTCGGAATGTGTGTGAACTAACTGCCATTCTGTTAGAGCCTATCACTGTAGTGCTGAGAGCGCAGGGCGTAGCCTGCCGGAGAGGAGACCTTGGGATTGTTTTTGCACAGGTGTGTCTGGTGAGGACTTGTTCCGTGTGTGTCTCTCCCCGCCCCCGCCCCATTGTAGTGCCTTATATGATGATGTAGTGGTTCTAGAGTTTACAGGGAGCTGCCTTAGGATGGACCAGCAGGCCCCGGGGACCTGAGCTGTTCGCTGGGTTCATCGGAACAGGACTAGTGGCTGTGCCATGGACACGCGTTTCCTCAGTTTCTCTGCCGACACGGAAACCTCCCAATAGCAGCTTTCCTCCTCTGCCCCCTGCCCCCGCCGGGCCCGGCCTCCTCTCACAGAAGCTCGTCCCCGCGCGGCTCCCCCTGTGTGGCCACCTGCTCCTGGGAGCAGTCAGCAAGCAGGTGAGAGGAGTCAGCCAGTATTTAATATGCATTGCTGCTTCTTTCCAAAAAGGATGTGCAGTCACTTTGAGAATGAGACCCCCACCCGCTTCCCCATATGGCAGTCCTTCCTGCAGATAGCTGACATTCCTAGAAAAATATTTGCTTGTTGAGAAAAACATGTAACAGATGTGTTTATACCAAAGAGCCTGTTGTGTCGCTCACCCTGTCCCCATACTAGAAGAGTCTCGTGGTGCCGCTGGTGGCAGCGAAGAGCATTAGGAAAGCACCAAAGCCACTGGGCTTTCGAGGTTCCTTTTTGCCAACTTGTATGTTCTCGGGGCCCTGCCAGCTGTGCCACTGCCCTTGTCCTCCAGCTCCCACACGGATCGGGGTCAGTGGAGGGTACTGAGGATGTTCCTGCCCATGAGGATTCTGGGGAAGAAGGCAGCCCTAAGGCACAGAAGTGTGCCATCTGAATGGAACGTGACAGTGGAGGGGCCCGTCCAGGACGTTCTTCGTGCAGATGGCGTAGGGAGGTGCAGGGTGGAGATGGGGGTTTCGTGGAGCCCGGGCAGCCAGCCCTGCTCGGGTCGAACACCGAGGAGCTGTCAGGTATTGGAGCTTCTTCTTTGTGAGGAGTCTGGGCTTCCGGGAGGAGCGGTCAGGGCAGCCTGCCAGGAGGGAAGGTGTTGGCGCTTTCTGTGTGTGTGCATTCTCGCGAGTTGTGTGCTCAGCACGCTGCTGGTCAGGATACCCAAGCAGCGAGTATCGCTTGTCACTAGTGCGTTAAGTGTTCTGGTCAAGTGTTCTGGTCGGCGTGTGTGGTCTGTGTCTCCTTTGTGCCAAGCCCATTCGGAGTTTCTTGCTTCGAAGGCAGAGCTAGTTTCTAATGGAAACTCTGTGTTCCTTTTCTTTACAAGGGATAGGAATTGTTTTTGTAAGAAACCAGATACAGGAAAAACCACCACAGAACACTCCGCTCCTGCCCCCAGTCCCGAAGGTAGAGACCGTTTCAAGATGCGGGAAAAGATGACGCTGAGATTTGTACTGTTACCTTCATCACCTTACTAGCACTGTGCAGCTTTAGGGATTTTAGAGCTTTTCAGCCAGTCTATCAATTGGCATTTCAGACTCGCCAGGTAAACCCCTCCCCACCCCACCCCCGTGTGGCTTTCCATCCTGGCCCTGCGGCCTGAGCAGCTGGCTTGCATCCGAGTGGCCTGGCCTCTGACCAGGCTAAGGCTTTGGCCCCCTCTGGAGTGCACTTCCGGCTTCTCTCCTTCCGGGTGAGAGCAGTGGGGAAGGGTTAGTTAAATGCAGCCACTCTAGGCTCCTCAGGACACTGATCACTCTACTTAATAGCTCCCAGGGGTGATCCTGTGTTCCGTGCTCAGCTCCCAGCCCCAGGAGTAAGCACTCCACATCAGACGGTCTGCCAGCCTGAGGGCCCGCAGCCAGGCAAGCACATCCGGGGCTTTTTAGTCAGCATTATTATGCAAAAACCTACCGGTTAGGGGGTTCCTTTTAAATTAGGAGATGAAGTTGCCTCCCAGTGACAGGAATGGCCCACGCCTGCTTCCTATTTTGATTTTGTTTTTAACTGATGGATGGTGCAGCATGTCTTCATGGTTGTTTGTTGCAAAACTTTATATAATGTGTGGTTTTGATTCCGCTTGAAGAATAATCTCACTACATGTAGCAGTACATTCTGTGTGCATTCTATGTAATGTTAGTATTTCTGCTTCGAACCCTTGATATTGCAATGGAATTCCAACTTTATTCGGTGTATGTGATCTGCTAGCTATTGTGTGCGATTTAAACTTTCGTTGCTTCCTCTCTTTTCTGGTTGTGCTCTCCCCTGGACAACGAGCCTCTAGAAGCAGTTTCTGAGAATTACTGAGCTATGTTTGTAATGCAGATGTACTTAGGAGTATGTAAAATAATCATTTTAACAAAATAAATAGATATTTAAAATTTAATACTAACTACGGGAAAAGGGTCCATTGTGTAAAACATAGTTTATCTTTGGATTCAATGTTTGTCTTTGGTTTTACAAAGTAGCTTGTATTTTCAGTATTTTCTACATAATATGGTAAAATGTAGAGCAATTGCCATGCATCAATAAAATGGGTAAATTTTCTGATTCATGTGGCTTTTTCACTTTTGTTAAAGAGAGTCACCAAATGGCAACTTTGGATACCTAAATACACCTGAAAATCAGCAGACACCTTATTCACACAGCCCTCTGAGCGGAAACCAGTGGCCCTCGGGAGGGGACTTTCCCCAAGAATGGAGCTGCGGGCCCTGACTGGAGCTCTGGCCCTTGCAGAGGCAGAAACCTCTGACACGGGCTAAGTGAGTCGTTTCCCAGTGAGTCCCAGGGGACACTTAGCACAGCAGAGTGAGAACACCAGCGAGAATGACAGCCAGAGTGCTCCTCCCCCTCGGGGCAGCTGGTGGGAGCCTGGTCCTTGTAGGGAGGGAGCACGCGTCATCAGAGGCCCCTTCATCCTAAGGGGAGTAACATTCCTCCGGGTCGAGAACTAGAGGTTTGTCTGGATCGATCCTGCGGGTCTCTGAATAAATGCTACACTCCGTTGACTCCTTTGGACACGGGCTTCAGGCCCAGTCACCCCTCCAGTGGCCATTCACTGACCCGGGCGCCTGAAGCCATAGGGGACCTAGAAAGGACACACATCCAGAAACACGCTTTGGACCGTAACCAAGAGGAATAAGTGACCAGGAGCCCTCTCCCATAAGTAGGGAAGTCAGGATACGTTTATGTTGATTTCCCCCTGAATAAAGGAATGTAAAGTCCGTGTGAACTTGCTGCATTCCCCGGTTAAGAGAACACTCCCTGAAGCATTCAGGTCAAGGAAAGCGTCTGCAAAGGCTCTGCTGTCAGCTAATCAAGAATTTACCGACTTATCCATGACCTGTTTGTTTTGTTTTCAAATTGTTTTTTATCCGTTATGTCCTTGTCTTGTAGGCTAAATGAGAGAGAGGCTGGCATGGCCCCATAAGTGATTGGGTAGTCCTTGGGGAAATCGGCAATTTAATAATGAAAACACTTATAAATCCAGTCTGCTTGGTTTGCTGTGGAAAATTCCGTAAGACGTTGAAGTCGAAACCTTGGTTTCCCTGTTAATCCTGAGACGGTACCTGGTGTTCAGCACTAGGTGGCGCCAATGAGCTATGAAGACCAGTCTGTAGCCCTTTTCCCCACTCTTCCCTTCAAACCTCTCCTCCGGCTTCCAGCTTCCACTGACCACGGCAGAGAACAGCCCAGGCTGTTTCTTGTTTTTGTTTTTGCTGGGAAAGATTAACGAAGGATATATCTTATGTCAACGCTGGAGGCCTTCTGAAACATGGGAATAGAGTTTGCCGAGTTTTCTCTGGGGCCTCCCAGCGCCCCCTTCTCCTGGGCGACTGCCCACAGGCTGTCCTCTCCCAGCGAGCCTGCGGCCCAGGCGGGAGGTGGTTAAGGCTTCTGGCTGCTCTGCAGCGGGGCCATCTGTGTTTGATCAGCCCGGCAGAAGGGAGGGGGCGGGGCCACGAAGGCCTGAAGGCCTGAAAGCATTCCAGAGGAGTGAGAGAGACCCAGAGATCCAGAAGGGAAGCCCGCCCCCACCCCGCCTCCCAGGCTCCCCGCGGGCTCCAGGGCAGAGGCGCGCACGGCTGCCTGTGCTCTCCTGCCCGGGCCCCTCTCGGCTGCCATGGGCCCCCGCGCTCCCCTCCTCCTCCTGCTCCTCCTGTGGTGGTCGGGGCCCCTGGGAGGACAGCAGCAGCACCTGGTGGAGTACATGGAACGCCGGCTGGTCGCCCTCGAGGTGAGTGGCTCCTCTCCCGCCCAGCCTGGCAGGGTGGCACTTTGTCCTCGGTGCACCCAGTGTGTCAGGCATCGAGGGGTGACAGGGCTCTGTAAGAACTACAGGAAACGCCATCTTTCAATAAGATCCTCAGGATGTAAGTCCTCTTCCCCACATGCTCAGAGGGATTCAGACCTTTGCGTCTTACCCCTGGGACTCGGCAAACTCATTAGTCAGCAGAGCCAGATATCAACAGGACGACGATTAAAATTTCTTTGGAGAGCCAACTTTTTTAAGCTTAAATTCTTTTTAAAAAAATACATTTTATTGATTTTTTTGAAGAGAGAGGGATAGAGAGTTAGAAACATCGATGAGAGAGAGTCATCGATCAGCTGCCTCCTGCACACCCCTCAATGGGGATGTGCCCGCAACCAGGTACATGCCCTTGACCGGAATCGAACCGGGACCTTTCAGTCCGCAGGCTGACGCTCTATCCACTGAGCCAAACCGGGTTCGGCTAAGCTTAAACTTCTAATGCCACTTCTTCAAAATAGATTTGCGCAGGCCGTGGTATTTTGTGGGAGAGCCACACTCAAGGGGCCAAAGAGCCGCAAGTGGCTCGAGAGCCGCAGTTTGCTGACCACGGGTCTAGAGGGAAGAGGGCAAACTAGAGCTGGGACTGTGGGGACGCATCCCAGGACGAGCTGATGCTTCTGTTCAAGTTGGAAGCTCCCAGAGAACTCTCTCTTTTCCCACGTTGAAGTCTGGAGCCTCCTGATCTCAGGAGAATTGTGTCCTGGGGCAGAGCCCCCCCACCACGCACTGAGCCGGCCTGGAGGCGGGTGGCCGGGGCCCCGCTGGCAGGGAGGCAGGCGGGAGGGGTGCTGGGTGGCCGGGGCCTGGGTGAGCTGAGCCAGGCTTCCTGCACATCTAGCGTCTCTGAGCATCTGGTTTCCTTTCGGTGGAGGTTGCTAACGGCTGAGTGTGCTCTTCCCCATTCCTGACTCCCTGCCTGGGCCTCTCCCTGCCTGGGAGTCTAACCCTGCAGTCTTTCCTCCTCCCCACACCCCTCTTCTCCTCCCCACCCCCCAATCCCCTCAGGAACGGCTGGCCCAGTGCCAGGACCAGAGCAGCCGGCATGCGGCCGAGCTGCGGGACTTCAAGAACAAGATGCTGCCGCTGCTCGAGGTGGCCGAGAAGGAGCGGGAGGCGCTGCGGACGGAGGCGGACACCATGGCGGGGAGGGTGGACCGTCTGGAGCGGGAGGTGGACTACCTGGAGGCCCAGAGCCCGGCTCTGCCCTGCGAGGAGGTGAACGAGAAGGCGCCCGGAGGCCCGGGGGCCAAAGGCAAGGGCAGAAGAAACGAGAAGTACGACATGGTGACAGGTGAGCGGCTGGAGGCAGACCCCTGGCTCGGAGGGCCTGTGTCCTGGCCCTCGGCCTGCAGGGGAGGAGGCCAGCCTGCCCGGGGAACGCTGAGCTGCCCCCGCGGTCCCCCCCTTCCTTCCTGCCCCATCCGCGCGGGCTGTGTCTCTGGAATCTGTTTTCGGGCAACTCTGTAATGACGGGCCCATCAAGGAGGGTTCTGGGGACCCTTTCTCCCAGTCCCCACAGCACTGGAGGCATCCACTGGGCCAGAGGTCGGCAAACTCATCCGTCCACAGAGCCAAATATCAACAGCACAATGATTGACATTTCTTTGGAGAGCCACATTTTTTAAACTTAAACTTCTTCTAACGCCACTTCTTCAACACAGACTCACCCAGGCCGTGCTACTTTGTGGAAGGCCCACACTCAAGGGGCCAAAGAGCCGCAGTTTGCCGACCTCGGTTCTCCCGTGGCCCACCTGGGCGCTAACTCTCGCCCGTCTCCTGTGCTTGCCTCCTCCCCCGCAGACTGCGGCTACACCATCTCGCAGGTGCGGTCCATGAAGATCCTGAAGCGTTTCGGGGGCGCCGCCGGGCTCTGGACCAAGGACCCGCTGGGGCCCCCGGAGAGGATCTACGTGCTGGACGGGGCCCAGAACGACACGGCCCTCGTGTTCCCGCGGCTGCGGGACTTCACCCTGGCCATGGCCGCCCGCAAGGCCTCCCGCGTCCGCGTCCCCTTCCCCTGGGTGGGCACGGGGCAGCTGGTGTACGGGGGCTTCCTCTACTACGCCCGGCGGCCGCCCGGGGGGCCCGGGGGGGGCGGGGAGCCGGAGGACACCCTGCAGCTCATCAAGTTCCACCTGGCCAACCGCACGGTGGTGGACAGCTCCGTGTTCCCCGCCGAGGGCCTGATCCCCCCCTACGGGCTCACGGCCGACACCGTCATCGACCTGGCGGCCGACGAGGAGGGCCTGTGGGCCGTCTACGCCACCCGCGAGGACGACAGGCACCTGTGTCTGGCCAAGCTGGACCCCCAGACGCTGGACACGGAGCAGCAGTGGGACACGCCGTGCCCCAGGGAGAACGCCGAGGCGGCCTTCGTCATCTGCGGGACCCTGTACGTCGTGTACAACACCCGCCCCGCCAGCCGGGCCCGCGTCCAGTGCTCCTTCGACGCCAGCGGCACCCTGAGCCCCGAGAGGGCCGCCCTCCCCTACTTCCCCCGCCGCTACGGGGCCCACGCCAGCCTCCGCTACAACCCCCGGGAGCGCCAGCTCTACGCCTGGGACGACGGCTACCAGCTGGTCTACAAGCTGGAGCTGCGGAGGAAGGAGGAGGAGGTCTGAGGAGGGGCCCCGGGTTAGGAATCTCTCCCGTCTCCGCCCGTGGACAGCCCCGCCGCGCTTCCCGCTCCTCGTTCTCCAGCCGCGGGCAAGCTGTGGCCCCCGTCTCCTCTCTCAGCGACGGAGGCCAGCCTCCGACGGCCCCTGCGTTCCCTGCGGGACTCTGGGTCGTGGGGGCCCCTTTTGGAGCCGAGAGAGAGAAAACCCGAAGGGGTCCCTCCTTCCTCCCGGCCCAGGGCCACACATTCCGGGTGGGGGCCGCCCCAGGGAGAGGCGGCGGCCGGAGGATGGGCTGCCTCCATCCGTGTGAGCTGGAGGAGAGAGGGCTTTCCACGCCGCCCTCTCCCATCAGTGCCCTCAGGGGAGGGCCCCTCTCCCCCTGGTTTTGTACCGAGGCGTCTTGCATTAAAGGGAAAACCCACCGCTGCGCGCCTGTGTCTGTCTGGGGCAGCCCTCGGATCGTATTGCACCCCGTGACCCTCTCTGTTCCCCTCCGCCCCATCCCCGCTCCCTAAGCCACGTGAGGGACTTGGCGGGGCTCCCTGGCCCAGGGAGAGGCCCTTCTCTGGTTACAGATTCTACGGGAGGTGCCGGGAAGCAGCGGATCCCGCCACTTCAGGAGGCTGGCAAAGGCCCTCCACACCCACCTCCTCCCCCTCGCCCTCCGCAGCCTCCGGGGCTCGGCCAGGGGCCTGGAGACTGCCAGGGCCGGGCTCAGTCCCAGTTCTCAGAGGTGTTGGACCAGAAAGTGGGTTGTAGCTGCATAGAAGGCTCCTGTGTGTGTGTGTGTGTGTGTGTGTGAGAGAGAGAGAGAGAGAGTGTGTGTGTGTGTGTGTGAGAGAGAGAGTGTGTGTGTGTGAGAGAGAGTGTGTGTGTGTGTGTGTGTGTGAGAGAGAGAGAGTGTGAGTGTGTGTGTGTGTGAGTGAGTGAGAGAGAGAGAGTGTGTGTGAGAGAGAGTGTGTGTGTGAGAGAGTGTGTGTGTGTGTGTGTGAGAGAGAGAGAGTGTGAGTGTGTGTGTGTGTGAGTGAGTGAGTGAGAGAGAGTGTGTGTGAGAGAGAGTGTGTGTGTGAGAGAGTGTGTGTGTGTGTGTGAGAGAGTGTGTGAGAGAGAGAGTGTGTGTGTGTGTGTGTGTGAGAGAGAGAGAGTGTGTGTGTGAGAGTGTGAGTGTGTGTGTGTGTGAGTGAGTGAGAGAGAGAGAGAGAGAGAGAGTGTGTGTGAGTGTCTGTGTGTGTGTGTGTGTATGTGTGTGTGTGTGTAAGCCGGCGCCCATGTGTTTTCAGTAAGAACTTGAAGCCCCACCTCTGGAGTGGCCTGGGCCGCGCTCCCGGCTCCAGCGGCGGGCCGGCCCCCGGGGTTGCACAATCGGACTTGGTCTGCGTCTCCCTGGTTTTCCTGCTGCCACAGCGTCTGCGGTTTGGTGGAGGGGCAGTGGCCATGTCTCCGATGTGAGGCCTCCAGCTTCCCGACCCACTCCTCTCCGTCCTCGTCCCCGCCTGCCCGCCCACCCCGGGCGGGGAGCCTGGACACGGAGCCCTCTCCGGATGGCCCGGGCCTCTGGTTTGCAAAGGCCGGGGAGCACGTGGGGAAAAGGAGGGGCGATTCCCGGGAATCTGCTGCGCCCGGGGCCAGGCCCGCCCTGGACAGCACCGGGGAGCAGGCTGCGGGGGGCCAGAGCCCCTGCTGTGGGGCCGTGGGAGTCCCCGTGGTGACTTGCCCAGAGGGAGAGGGAAGAGGGAGCCGGTCTCCGCAGTGACCAGTCTTCCCCGCCCCTCACGGGCGGATCAGCCGGGGCCCGCGAGCCGCCTCTCCCCTCTCCCCTGGGGCTGAGCCCCCCACGTGGGATGATGGGGAACGGGGGGCAGAGGGATGGGGGCTCACCCTCCGCTTCTCTCCCAACGGGGGGCTGGCAGCGGTCTCACACCATCAGCCCGGGAGGGTCTGCCCACAGCCATCGGCTCCGGCGCGGGTGCAGCAGGAGGGGCGCGAGGCCGGACGGACGGTCGGACGGAGGGAGGGGGTTCGCAGTGCGGCCTGGCCCCGCGTGTGGCCACGCCCCTCTGTGACTGCGCGCATGCTCGCCCCTGCGCGCGCACGTGTGCGCATGCTCGCCCCTGCGCGTGCACGTGTGCGCATGCTCGCCCTGCGCGCGCACGTGTGCGCATGCGTGTGCGCACTGGCGGGAATCCCCTCCGCGTGCCGCGTGGCTGGGCTGGAGGCTGCCGGAAGGGGGCGCTGTCAGGAGGCGGCCCCGCACCTCACACCGGGGCGGGGAGTTTGACGCCGGGACCCGCGGAGAGAGGGCTCCGGCTCGGTGAGTACAAACCCGGGTGTCGTCCCCGCCGCCCGCGGTGCCGCCTGGCTCCCGGCGTCGCCGTCCTTGGCCTGATTCCTCCCTGAGGAGAGGGGCTATTTTCTGGCCGTAACATCTATTTGGGCCGGAACCGGTGTGGCTCAGTGGACAGAGCATCGATCTGCAGACTGCAGGGTCCCGGGTTCGATCCCGGTCAGGGCACGCACCTTGGTTGCGGGCACATCCCCGGTGGGGGGTGTGCAGGAGGCAGCTGGTCGATGTTTCTCTCTCATCGATGTTTCTAGCTCTCTGTCCCTCTCCCTTCCTCCCTGTAAATAAAAAAATAAATAAATAAATAAAATTCTTTGGGAAAGTTCCCTCCGACTTTTCTGGAAGGGCAGGCATCTCTGGGGCCTTGTCATTTACTTCTTTCCGCTTTTTTTCTTTCCTTTTTGGCTCCAGAAGCTGGTGCCATTCGGAAGCCGGGGGCAGGTGCTGGCGCTGGGCGGGCAGATCCGGGGCCCCGTCCACATCCATCCCGTTAGCCGCCGGCTCCGGGAGCCCTCAGCCAGCCTCCGGCCTGCTCGGACCCACACAGCCCTCCTGGCAGCAACCGTCCGAACCAGGACGCGGAGGGGGTGCAGGGAGGCCTGGCCCCTGTGTGGGTTGCACAAAAGGCAGCGGGGCCCTGATGGGGAGCAGGGGCTGAGACCCAGAGAGAAGGCAGCCCCTCATCTGCCCCTGACGCCTGGCCGGGACGGTCAGGCGGGGCCGGGATGGGGGCTGGGGGCCGGGGCCGGGGGCCGGATGTGGGCCAGGGGCTGGGGCCAGGGGCCGGGATGGGGGCCGGGGGCCCGGGGCCGGGGGCAGCCTTCCCGGAGGGCGGCCGGATGGGGCTCCCCATCAGCAGGCAGGGTCAGAGGGCTCCCTGCCCGACTCTGGCCCCGCGTTTCCTGCCCGACGCCCATGCTCCCCTCCTCCTCAGGATCCCCCTCCCTGCGCCGGCCTTGGTGTGTCCCTGCGAGAACCCAGTGCCATCTTATCCTTGTCCTCACGGACCGAGCCTGCACGACGGGAGGGAGGCGGAGGCGGAGGTGTGGGGAGTGGGTTGTTGACTCAGCTGTCAGGGCTCTTCCTGGGCTGGCACTGAGCTAAAGGGGGGCCAGAGCCCTTGCCTTCCTCCTCCTCCTCCTCCTCCTCCTCCTCCTCCTCCTCCTCCTCCTCCTCCTCCTCCTCCTCTTCCTCCTCCTTCTCCTCCTCCTTCTCCTCCTCCTCCTCCTCCTCTTCCTCCTTTTCCCCCTCCTCTTCCTCCTCCTCTTCTTCCTCCTTTTCCCCCTCCTCCTCCTCCTCCTCCTCCTCCTCCTCCTCTTCCTCCTCCTCCTCTTCCTCCTCCTCCTCCTCCTCCTCCTCCTCCTCCTCCTCCTCCTCCTCTTCCTCTCCTTACACAGCTGCTGGGAGCACCCCTCTGCTGCCCATTCCTCTACCCGGTTTAGGGCAGAGCATGCTCAGTGTGATGGCTGCTAGACTCTCCTGGGTGTCTCCCAGCTTTCAGGACAGTTCCCTTTAAAAATTATTTTTATTTTTATTGATTTTAGTGAGAAGAAGGGAGAGGGATGGAGAGATAGACTCATCAATGGGAAACATCGATTGGCTGCCTCCTACACACTTCACCCTGGGGAGGGAGCCCAAGCCCGGGCCTGTGCCCTGACCAGGAATCGAACCGTGACCTCCTGGTTCGCCGGGCGGTGCTCAACCCCTGAGCCACACCGGCCGGCGGGATGGTTCTCTGTGGGGCCAGTGCGCAGGCTCTGGGGCTGGCTGGGCAGTGTGGTCTCTGGCCCCTCCGCCCTCTGCCCCCAGCAGCAGCCGCAGCCTCTCTGCCCCTGTGCCACCCGGCACCGGGGCTGCCAGCTCTGCTCCGCCCGCTCCTTTTCAGCCCCCGCTCTCACCACGCGGAGCTTAGAAGATTAAATCTTTATTTATGGATTTAATAACGCTGCCGAAGAATTATACACGCGAAAGGGCAGCGTGAGGGAGCAGAGACGACGCTCTCTCAGCACGGCCCCCCCGAGCCCTGCTCCTGACCAGTGCACTCCCTGGCCGTGCGGTCCTGGGCGGTGATTCCCCGGGCTTCAGAGAGCGACCGTCCCCGGAGGCCTGCGGGTGGACGGGCCGGTGTTCATAAACCAACCGGCGCTCCATACGTGCCCGTCCCCGGGCCGTGGCTCTCCACGCCCTCTCCCGGACTCTGCCGGCGGCCATGTCCGGCGTCACAGACCCTCTGCCCGGGTCCAGGGGCTTCGGCCCCCTCTTCTCCATGTGCACAGTGTCCGGGGGGAAACACGGTGCCTGGACCCCCGCAGGTCTCTCCGTCAGCAGCTACAGCTGCCACATGTGGACGTGTCTGCCCCGTCAGTGCCTGAGCCAACCCCACCGGCAGAGTGTGTGTGTGTGTGTGTGTGTGTGTGTGTTGGCTTTTATTTTTTCCCTTCCTTCCTTCCTTCCTATCTTTTTTAACATAGTGCTCCCCAGCTGCCTTTCTCCTCAAGCACATTTTCTCTGAAGCTATTTCAGTTGCTCAGGATGCGCCCTGGTAGCCCTCACTGTTGACTTTTTGGACTTATTCGCTGTTGATTCTGACAGATCCTTCAAGGCCGCCTTGGTTGCACTTGGTCTTGGAGATATTTATTGCCGTCCGATCGCACAAGGTCTCCGTTCTGTGGCTGGTGGATGTCTGTTCCAGACCCGTAAATCCGGGCAGTTGGCAGGCGCCCGCTGTTCTCCGTCCATTCTGATCGCGCCGTTGGAGGGAGGAGAGAGGGCGGGAGGGTCCAGGGTCAGAGTCAGAAGACCTCTCTGTTTTGGCGGCTGAGAGCCTGGCCCTCCGTCTCCTGAGCTGGGTGACCTGGAGCCAGATGCCAACCCCTCCGAGCCTCAGTTTGCTGCTTTGCAGAACAGTTATGTCACCCGGGTTACCACTCACAGGACCGTGGAGGTTCACGCCCTAATGCCGAAGGCTCTCGGTGTCCTCCGGGAAGGACTCTCAGAGTCATTTCTTCCGTGAAGAAACGGAAGTCCAGAGAGCCTTTGAGGGCAAGGCCAGCGCCTTCCGTCTTCCCTCCCCAGACCCAGAGTC